AAGGCTAGGTCGTAAGCTTCTGTAGGGCGGCCTAACCCATTTACATCCCTAGGTATAAGAATAAAAAGTCTTACACTAAATTGTGATTATTTAATTGCTTGTGTCTAACGTCTCACGTATATGATAAATCAGAACTGTTAGATATAAATAAGATTAACGATCAAGATTGAGAGTGTAATTTACACCCGGGAAATAGATTGTCCTTCTAAAGGACCTAAAGTATTCAAAGGTAGATTGGGATCAATTTCCTCATTATTACAGTTTCACCAGAATGCAGTCACAATGCTACAATAATCATCCATTCAGTAATAAGAACACTAATGCATGCAAGGGCTCTCACCAACAATACATGTATACTAGTTCCCATATCTCTATGGCCAACATAGTTATAAATCATTAAGTTCAGGTTCTATGTGATTTTATGGTGTGAATGATCTCTCTACCCACAATTAACCAATTTTACTTAGTTAAACCACAATGTTTAATAACTTTCAGGATTCACCTATATCTCTATAGCCCAAATCCTAAGTACCTTGCAAATCTTTCTTGATGAATCAAAAAGATTAGAAACAATGTAAACACTTTATTAAACAACTAAAAAGATAATTATGCAACAAAGTTTAGGCAGACTGATTACATCACAATAAGGGTACTTTATCACCCAATCCTAACAATTTAGCTCATACTTGAGTGGAAAGAAACAATAAAGAAAGAATAAGATTCCATAGATCTAAGATAAGAAAAACAGGGTTGTTGTAGCTCTGCTATCGCAGCAATCGTGAGCTCCACCACCATCACTGTATCTAAGTCGCATGAATAATGCAGAAAGTCACTGGATTCAATGATCTCTTTATTGAACCCTAGCTCATTCCTTTAATTCACTAGATCTCTCTCAACGAACCCTCAAATCCTTTCTAAGTGTTTCCCTCACTTTCTTTCTCTAACAGCTTTGAATTCTGTGTTCTAATCCGTGTCAAAGCCTTTCCAGCCTGCTTGATGTGTGTAGGTTTTCTCTCTTTATAGACTCTGATGCATTGAGCTTCAATCAGCTCTTCAAATCCATTGCAAATCACATTCAAATCTGCTCTAGGATTGATTGAAGATACTGCTCTATTTTTGCTGCAACTCTGATCCAGGGGCAGAGCATAATGTTGCTGCATATCTTCTCCAAATCTTTCCAAATATATAATTCAAATTTGATTTGGATTTGTGGACTCTAATTTGTTAGAGATTTGATTAGGATTTTTTGAAGATCTATGAGTGATTATTCAGATCAGAACACTTGTTTGCGCGCTAAGAAACTTCCCTCCATTAAGCTTGCTGGTGATGATGTCAACCAAATGCACTGCTTATCTCAGCTTCAATACTATAACTCTGCTTTCCGATGCAACAGCTCCGACCTGCAATAAAATAGCAAATGCAATAAATGGTTCCAACACTCAAATTATCTTCAAATATCCACATTTAGCATATTTCTCATTCAAATCATGAAAATATAGAATTCATGCATTAATCATACAAAATCAAGAGAATTATGCATATTTATGACACTAAAACATCACATATATGCCTAAAAATAACTATCCACCAGAGAGTTACCAGGGGTCGAGAATCATGGTAGGGAATGGTGTTGGTACATCTTTTTGGAATTAGAAGTGGCTACCCATTGGCCCTCTCATTAATCATACCAGCCAACACATACGTCTCGAACTTCAAAGTACCAAAATCTATCAAATGGTGGACCTTCATTAGATAGTGGAAGTGGTATTATTTTAATCTTTTTCTCACCTAAGAAGCTTTAAATTTTGTTGCAGAGACTTGTCCTCCCCATCCAGAGAATGGAAATGACTAGGTGATGGGATTTTTCTCAAGATGGAAGCTTCTCAATCAAATCGATTTTTGGCAGTTTCACTATTGAAGGCCCAAAACAACCTCAACCGAATTGGAGTGCTGTCTGGGATTGGGATGGCCCTCCTAGGATCAAGACTTTCCTATGGTTGCTACTTGGAGGTAATTTGCTCACTAATCTGAAAAGGAAACAAAGACATTTGACTGATTCTGATTTATGCCCAAGATGTAACTCTTTATCTGAAAGTTGCCTGCATGTTATGAGAGATTGTGTTTGGGCCCAAGCTTTATGAAAATTATTCATCAGGCCAGAGAAGTGGCACGAATTCAACAATCTTCAACTTCAAAATTGGGTGGAGGTTAATTTGCACCCAAAGCAGAGTATGTTGGGAGGTGAGAATGGAATTACCTTGCTTGGTATTATTTGTTGGTTTATTTGGAAAGAAAGGAATAGCTTGATTTTTGAGAATAAGAGTCTAAATGAGGAGGAAACTGTTAGAGCAGCTTGTGCCTATTTATTAAGTGTTTTAGAGGCTAAACAGTTATACAGGTTCGCTGGCTTCCAAATAGGATATCGAATGGAAACTTTGGTCAAGTGGTCTCATCCCCCACTTGGCTGGATCAAGATAAACACAAATGACTCTGCTTCAAGAGGAAACAAACAGAGTGGTTGTGGGGGAGTTTTGCGGGATGACTTTGGTCAATGGATCCTGAGCTTTGCAAGGAATTTAGGTGTTGGCAGCTCTGTCAAAGCTGAGCTTTGGGGCCTGTTCTTGAGACTAAAAATTGCTTGGAACCATAGATTTCACAGGATCATTTTGGAAGGGGATTCTAGAGTAGCCCTTAATTTGATTGAAGCAGGAGTTTCCCAACATCATCCCCTTGCTGGGATTATTAACAAGATCATCCAGCTTAAAAATCAAGCTTGGCAGGTTGAGTTTGCTTACATCTATAGAGAAGAAAATGAGGTAGTTGATTATCTTGCTGGTTTAGCTCATACTTTAGGTTGAGAGACTTATTTGTTTAATTCCCCTCCTAAAAGGTGTATAGGTATGTTAGGTAATGACCAAATGGGAGTAACCTGGGCCCGTTTTGTTAGATCTTTGTAATTAGTTTTTTCTTTATTTCCAAAAAAAAAAAAAATATGCCTTATTCAAAATAACACTTAAGAAACACTTATATTTCTCTCATAGTTATGGGATGATTTGAAATATACAGAAAATTAATCATCTCATGTGGAAAAAAAAAATGTCATGGTCATGTGGAAAGATCACAATCATACAAAAATGAATCAACGATTATGATTTTGTAACTACCTATTTCAATATATTTTCTCTGTCTTCCTTTATTACCATTGATCCACCTTTGTATGGTTATGATTAATTCCCCAAATGGTTATGTCATTTTTTTTTCATACAAGAGCATCTAGATCCCTAATTTTTACTTATTTGCAATTTCATCTCTATCATTAAAGTATTGATCCTTATATTAATCATTTGAATTTTTTACCTGCTATAACTTATATTCATTAAGGTATTGGTTCTTTATATATATATATATATATATATATATATATATATATATATATATATATATATATATATATATATATATATGAAGGATTGGTCCTTATAATTTTAACTTATTAAAATAGTGGCAAGTGATGAACAAAAATTTAAATAAGTGAAAATATAAGAATTAATATTAAAAAAGGAATAAATAAAAACAAATATATAAATAGTTAAAAATTATAAAAACTAGAATCTTATCTAAAATCAATTTTATTGTTGACTGACCCAAAATTTACACAGAAACTTGTGTTTTCAATTTTTACTGAGTTAAAATTACAATATATTTTAAATTAAATCAAAACTAGATATATCATTATTTGCTTACCTTAAAAGCAAACTCACTTTAAAGGAAAGTTTTCTAATAATAATATCTGTATAAAATCTCTCTCTTATTAATTGAATCCATATCTGTCTTTTTAAAATCATCGTTTTCAAACTGAATTTAAAAAAAATTTGGTACATAAACTGAATTATTTTGGTTGTAACAATTGATAGATACATAGCAGCTCAAATAATTAAGCTATTGGGAATTCCGGATGACGAAATTCTGAATTGCACAAATCCACGAGTCAATTCATTTAAATTCATCTGCCATTAATCTCTTTACAGTAATGTAATTGACTTGCAAACTTTAATTTTCTTTTAATTATTGAATTACATCACATAATTGATTGCATTTTAATTGCATGATGTTACCATAATAGGAGGGATTGAGACCCTTCATTACACATGATTTTTATTTTATTTTTAATGTTTTTGTAGTCATTTAGAAAAATATTTCAAATGAGATCAATAATGTTAAAGGAAAAAGTATTTTTCATTTTAGATGACACAACTTTGTGTCATTTTTAATAAAATTGTTTTGTTTTGATGTATTTTTGTATTCTCTCTCCTCCACTTTTTTTTCTTTCTAATTTTATCAAAAACATATCAAAACGACGTATTTCATTAAAAATAACATAAAGTTATTTCATTTAAAATAAGAAACACTTTTTCCAATGTTAAAACATTGAAAACATATGTCTTGATTAAGTACTTCGTAAGATTGTATTAATAACGCGATAGTGTACTCCAAATTGTGTCAATTTTAATCATAACTAGTATCTCTATATGAAATAGAAAAATGTTATGTGAGTGTAGATGCATCTGGAAGGAAAAAACATGAAATGACATTCATGTGTGAGTTTCAACTGAATTGAACCAATCTACTAATAAATAAACCGACTGAGACTATGGTAAATATGTTTAAATTGTGGTGTGCTAGAAAGAATATAAATAGGTGTGAATCACAACTAAGAATTTTCGTAGCTCCTAAAACCAGCTTTCACATATACCTAGTCCAAGATCAAATGCAAAGAAACTACATGCATCATCTTAAGTAAAGTTTCTTTCTTGTTTTTTAATTCAAGTATTGATCCTTGATTGTTATAAAGACAACGTATAGATCTAGGGAGTGGAATTTTCAAGATGGGCAAAACCAAGGTTGATCTTGGTGAGCCTCAATATGCAGAAGTCATGAACAAAAGTCAAGATGCTGCGGTTGTCATGAGTTTCTGCATAGGATTATAGCTGGAGGGTTCAAAGCTGAGAAGCTCCAAAGCTGAGAAGCTCAAAAGCTTGATATTTTAAAGGATTAGAGCTGAAAATCCGAAGAGTTCAACTTTGATGTTGTTGTGGATATAAGGTTGAAAATGCATGAAAAATAAGGTTGAAAATGCCATAAAATTTAGATAAAAAAAAGTTAAGCCCATGAAGTTACAAAATTTCAAGTGGGCGTGATCCTCTCACCGACCCTCAAATGGCACTAAAAAAAGTGCCTGCAGAATCTCTCTTCCACTGTCAATGCCTCAACACCTTTCTTACCAGAAGGGTTGTCACATTGAAGAAAAACTATCATGAATGTACAGCACTGACTAAACGTGTAGATGAATCACTTTCGTGTCAACAAACCCTTCATCAAGAATATCCCCAAACAACCAACTGCTACCACCACCATAACACGAGCTCCAGTGTAACCTGAATCCGTTGCTATGCTTTTTCTGTTGGTTCTTGTTTGGTGAGACATCCCCCCAGAGGCCCCCCTGAGAAGATTATTGAGATTGTCCAATTGATGCACGATCTGACGCTGACCACGTACAATACCTGATATCTGATGACACACAGAAGTCAAGTAAATCAATAAGAACTAAAATGCAGCATTGATTCCAAAGTCAGAGACACCTTGGTTATTCACATAGTTTATATACATTAACAGCATTACACCGGCTTATGCTAAAAGCCAAGAACAATTTTATTTTTTTGGGTTAACAGCAATAAAAGCAAAGAACAAATTATATTCATCAACCTGAAAACAACTGGTGCGCATTTAAAAGAAAAAACTTTGTATCCTACCAATTAATAGGTATAAGACCTTCTTCATTTTATATTGTGACCAAAATGGTTGCTACTCTGTTTCTCCACTTACTAATTTAGTAATACCTACATAGATAAGCTCTATGCCAAGGAGAAAATTCTGACAATTTCAGTATTGTACCTCAGGTCAAATCAATGCCCTAGAGCTAGACCACTCACAACATAAAAGAATGTCAAGTAACATAACAGAATTTACACAAATCCAATAAACATGTGCAACATATTCATAATTTTTTAAATTTTTAGTGAAATCATTACTTTCATTACCCACCACGTTGCTCCTTTTAAGGGATCCAAATAAAAGGTCATTATGTTTCCTTTTTTGTCCCTCTCCATCTCCTTATCTATACTAGGTTTCTAAGATTAAAATTAACATGAAAAAAATTGGGACTAGTTTCATTATAGTGGAAACCATCTAAACATTTCCCTCAGGAAAATGCAGCTATCAAAGAATCAATTGAAAGGGTCAAAACTATAAAATGAAAGTGAGAAAAAATAAGACTCATAAAAGATACCTCTTCCATTAAAGGAGAATCTTTAGCTAATTGTGATGAAGATGAAGAATTTGGCATTTTAGATCCAGTTAGGGAACCATTGCCCAAATTAGTGATGAAGTAAGACGTGGGTGCAGAACCGTTGCAGGCCTCAGCTTGAAATGACAAATTTTTTTGGCTTGGAGAAGTACTATTGATGGTTAACTTGGAGTTCAGCTCTTCGATACGATTTGTAAACTCATCCATTCTATCATTAAGGGCAGAAATTTGATCTGAAAGCTGACTGATGGCTCCCTACCAAATATTAGGTGAACGAAGACAAAAAATAGATAATTAATTGGGGAATGGACCACAGAGAAATGATGATATAAATACAGTATGTTTACAGGAATTAAAACTACTACAAGTAAATGTTATTACATGATTTACTATTGTTGCAGAAGAATCTGGATTTCTTTCAACAAACCCTTGATTGGTGGCAACATATCCAGTAGCTTTGGCTAGACTTTTGTCCCTTTGATTTGTATATGACTGTGACATTCCACTGTTGAAGATACACAATAGTTGTATTATTAGGTAACTGCAAAGCAGTTTTCAAGAAATATACAATGAAGTTCTTTAAGAAAAATACTCTAGCCCTGCCTAGATTTAGCCGTTTAGGTGATCTCACACAAACATTCCCTCTATTTGCAAATTCTACAAAAACTCTAGACATTAAAAATACAACAAATATCCAGTTAGTGTAAAGCCATCAATTCTTGGTCAAATGATGTAACTACCCATTTACTAACCAAGAATGATCTAAGGAAGTGTCAAAATCATCCATTTAGGTTAAACAATTAGATGGGAAATTTTCACCTCCTCAGATGTTTATTTCTCGCGGCAACCCTGTTGGCAGAGGCTCTAGAAAGTGCTTCTTTGGGGCTAGACACCAAATCCTCATCTAGGCTGAGCTTTGTCTTCAAATCATCTGGTAGGGCCTGTGGAACAGTTAGATAGAAAATGTTGATATATGATTTAATATTAGCAGATGGTAAGCTGCCATACCATAACCTCATTCACAAGCTTTTCAAGTTGAATTTGCTCAATGTAGGTGCGAGGAATGTAGGAACCTTCTAGACCCAGCTGCTGTCCTATGTCTTTTACAACTAAGCGGTCTCTTCCTTGTACCTGTTAGTTATAAAGTTCCAAACAATTCAGTGAAACACAAAATGTGTCATAAACCAAAAAATCAAAGAAATGTAAAAACCAAAAGAAACAAAATACAAAAGCAATCCAAGTCAGCATGGAATCAAAACTCTGATGTCAGACATTAAATTTAAATAAAAAAAATTACTTGACAGACTTATTTTCTTTGGAAGGAAGCCTTAGTAAATAAAATGCGAAGAAACAAATTACTTGAGACTCTTCATAAAGTTCACATCTCTTGAGCTTTAAGTTATAAGTTAGAAACCAAACAGCTTTGCTTTATTTTACAATTTTGTTAGAAAAATGTTCCATATAACTAATTACCTCTGAGAAATAGATTGATATATGTACAAAAAAGCAACAACAACAAAAAATGCAAAATTCGTTAACTCCCACCAAATCCTACAATCAAGCCAGTTCAACATGTTCAATCAAAACTTATGAAGGATAACTGGAAATACACATCTAAACATTGAGTGTCGATTAAGTGTCCCAGTAAAGCAATTTAGCATTAGTAAGATAGTATCATAGACTTGTTCTAGCATTACCTGAACATAATGTCGATTAAGTTGCTCAAGCCAATCTAGTTTCAGACAAACCCTCTCATCAAAAAAGATATGGCTGTTTCTCTTAAGGATAGTAGCTATTGTGTATCCCAAGGCCATTAGTCCACCAAGGAGGCGCACACTGACCTCAAAAGTAATTCTTGGCGATATGACAAAAGGATTATCTGTCACCCATTCCTAAAATGTTATAAACCATCAATTAGTTGACACCATGTGAAAACCTCCATCAATCAAGTATGGAGAAAAATAAAAGTTCATACGTAAAATACAAAAGACATGAGATCTAATAGCATGCCGTGCTAATGAAATATAAATTATTATGGTCCAAAAGAAAAATTAAAAGAGGAAGTCACTAACAAAGAAACTATAGCCTTTTAAAATAAATTATAAATTATAAAAAATGAAAAGCCAATTTTCTATTAAAAGTACCTGTTAGAATATTAGATATGATATGATTAGATATGATTAGATATGATTGGATTCCGTCTTATCCGTAAATATTCTGACGGTATCCTGACTGTATTAGGATTAGGTTTGGGCCTTTCACTTAAGCCCATTAAGGTCTCTATATATTGTAACTCTCTGACATAGATCAATACACAACATATTATTCTTCTATTATTTTATATTCAAGTTGGTATCAGAGCTCTTTCGTTCTGGGAACCCTCGCTTCCGCTTAGAAACCTTGTTTTTTGCTTTAAAACCTAAGCCCACTGCTTAGGAGTCCTCTTTCTTGCCGTGCGTCCTTCCGGTAAGCCTTCTAGGGCTGTAAACAGCCTCTGAGTGATTTTTCCAAACGCGTCAGCACCTCCGACGGCCACCGGAACCACCGCCCGCCGTCAGAATCACTGTTCAGGCAACCGGAGACTTTTTCCGGCGACTTTTCCGACCAAACTTCACGCGATCAGGACCCTCTCTTCCCGGGGACCAGGTCTGTGGTGGTCCGGTCAGCAACGCATCTCCCACGCGCCGTCACGCGCCACCTGTCTTCTCTGCGCGTGGGCTTCACGCGCCACCTTCTGCTGGCGCGTGAGCACTATTCCGGCGGTTTTTTCCGGCCGGTCTTGGACAGAGAAGCTCGCCTTCTCCTCCCCTTTCTGGATCTGTGATTGTTTCTCTATGGGTCTGACCTTAGACGCGTGGTTCTTCTTGATTGGATATCGTTTGCCTTCGTTTACGACTTTTATATTTTATCTTTAAATGGCAGCAGCATCTCTTGATCTCTCGGAGGTTAACTCTCCTTCTATTGTTGCAAATATAGCTCAGTCAGACAATGCATCATTTGGTTCAGGTTCGGACTATGCTGCACTCCAAACCCCTCTCAGGAGCAGTCTCAGCCTTATACTGGTAATCCTGTTGCTTGTGTTTCTCATTCTACATCACTTGGCACTTGGATATTTGACTCCGGTGCTACCGATCATCTCTGTGGTAATAAGGAACTCTTTACATCTCTTACTTATTCTGATCATTTACCGTCTTTTACCCTTGCGGATGGAACCAAAGCCCCAGTTCGTGGGATTGGACAAGCTCGTCCGACCCCTACCTTGGCCCTGACATCTGTCTATTACATTCCTGGCATCCCTTATAACTTAATTTCTATTAGTAAGTTGATCCACTCCCTCACTTGCACCATTACTTTCTCTAACTATTCTGTTTCTGTGCAGGATCCAGGTACGGGGAAAATGATTGGAGTGGGTCGTGAGTCACGGGGGCTTTATTATCTGGATGTGCCTCGTCCTTCAGTAGCATGCTCTCTCACAGAATCTCCACAACTTATCCACAGTCGCCTTGGTCATCCAAGTCTTTCAAAGTTGCAGAAAATGGTTCCTCTTTTGTCCGGTCTGCAGTCTTTAGATTGTGTGTCATGTCAACAAGGGAAGCATACACGCTCCTCTTTTGCCAGTCGAGTCAATAAACGAGCTGATGCCCCTTTCTCTCTTGTTCATTCAGATATCTGGGGTCCAAGTCGTACCTTGTCTGTCTTAGGTTTTCCGTATTTCGTTACCTTTATTGATGATTTTTCCCGTTGCACTTGGACCTATTTAATGAAAAATCGTTCCGAGCTATTTTCCATATATAAAAAGTTTTCTACTGAGATCCATACTCAATTTGGTGTTTCTATTCGTATTCTACGTAGTGATAATGCTAAGGAATATGTTTCTATTGATTTTTCTAATTTCTTGGCCACACAAGGTACTTTACATCAGACTACTTGTCCTCACACTCCACAACAAAATGGGGTGGCTGAACGTAAAAACAGACATCTCATTGAAACTGCCCGTACCCTTCTTATTCATATGCAGGTTCCCCTTCACTTCTGGGCAGATGCTGTACTCATCTCTTGTTTTCTCATCAATCGCATGCCTTCATCTGTGCTCCACAATGACATTCCTCATAATCTATTGCTTCCAGATGTTCCTCTTTATCCTCTAACTCCACATGTCTTTGGTTGTACTTGTTTTGTTCATGATCTCACTCCTGGTAAGGATAAGTTAACATCCAAGGCCTTTCAGTGTATCTTTCTTGGTTATTCTCGTCTTCAAAAGGGTTATCGTTGTTATTCTCCCGACCTTAAGTGTTACTTAGTTTCCCTGATGTCACTTTTCTTGATCAACAACCCTTTAATTCTATCCCATCTCAGATGTCACAGGTTGATCATGTACTTCCTGTCCCTTTTCTTGACTTGTCTTTGCCAGCTGCAGGTGCTTCTATTCCAGATGAGCAACCTATTACTTCTATACCTGAGGACCGTCCACTTCTCACCTATCAGCGTCGCAAAACTGTGCCTCTTGTCGACTCAACTCTTGCTGACTCATCACCCACTGCTGTTGCTTCTTCCCCTCCGGATCCTTCATCAGAGACTCTTCCCATTGCTCAAAGAAAAGGTACACGTACTACTCGTAACCCTTATCCTCTTTATACCTTTTTGAGTTATGACCGTCTTTCTTCACCTTTGTTTCTAGTCTTTCTTCTATTTCTATTCCTAAGACCACAGGTGAAGCACTTTCCCATCCAGGGTGGCGCCAAGCAATGCTTGATGAGATGACTGCACTTCATTCCAATGGCACTTGGGACCTTGTTTCTGCTCCTCCAGAGAAGTCTATAGTTGGTTGTCGCTGGGTTTTTACTGTGAAAGTTGGACCTGATGGCCATATTGATCGTCTCAAGGCACGTTTAGTTGCCAAGGGTTTTACTCAAATCTTTGGCCTTGATTATAGCGATACATTTTCTCCGGTCGCTAAGATGGCGTCAGTCCGCCTCTTTCTTGCCCTTGCTGCTGTTCGTCACTGGCCACTCCTTCAACTTGACATCAAAAATGCCTTTCTTCATGGTGATTTACAAGAAGAAGTTAAGTTTACATGGAGCAACCACCTGGTTTTGTTGCTCAGGGGGAGTCTGGAAAGGTGTGTCGTCTTCGGAAATCCTTATATGGTCTCAAGCAGTCTCCTCGAGCATGGTTCAGTCGCTTCAGTTCTGCTGTTCAGGCGTTTGGCTTAATCCGCAGTAAAGTTGACCATTCTGTGTTTTATAGGATTACATCTCCTGATAAGTGTATCTATTTGTTAGTCTATGTTGACGACATTATTCTCACCGGAAGTGATCAAGACGGAATTCGTCAGTTAAAACAACATTTGTTTAGTACATTTCAAACAAAGGACCTTGGGAAGCTGCGTTACTTCTTGGGAATTGAGGTGGCGCAATCCAGACAGGGCATTTCTATCTGTCAAAGGAAATATGCCCTGGATATCCTAGAAGAAACTGGTATGTTGGGGAGTAAACCAGTTGATACACCTATGGATCCTAATGTCAAGTTATTGCCCGGACAGGGGGAGCCGTTATCTGATCCTGGACGTTATCGGAGGCTAATTGGGAAGCTCAACTATCTTACTGTGACTAGGCCAGATATTTCTTTCGCTGTTAGTACGGCTAGTCAGTTTCTTGATTCCCCTTGTGATTCACATTGGGATGCTGCTGTGAGGATCCTCCGATACATCAAAGGAGCACCAGGAAAAGGTTTGTTGTATTCAGATCAGGGAAATACAGAAATTTGTGGTTATTCAGATGCTGATTGGGCAGGATCACCCTCGGACAGGCGCTCTACTTCTGGCTATTGTGTCTTCTTTAGAGGAAACTTAATTTCGTGGAAGAGCAAGAAACAACCTGTTGTTGCTTGATCTAGTGCAGAAGCTGAGTATCGTGCAATGGCAAATGCTACCTGTGAGTTAGTCTGGTTAAAGCAGTTGATTCAGGAGCTTCATCTTTGTGAACAGAAACAACCCATGACACTCATCTGTGATAATCAAGCTGCGCTACATATATCCTCTAATCCTGTCTTTCATGAGAGGACCAAACATATAGAGATTGATTGTCACTTCATTCGAGAAAAGATTCAGTCAGGAGAAATCAAGACTGCTTTCGTCAACTCCTCTGATCAACTAGCGGATGTTTTCACTAAAGCTCTTAGAGGTCCTCGGGTTGAATACATTTGTAACAAGCTTGGTGCTCATAATATATACGCACCAGCTTGAGGGGGAGTGTTAGAATATTAGATATGATATGATTAGATATGATTGGATTCCGTCTTATCCGTAAATATTCTGACTGTATCCTGACTGTATTAGGATTAGGTTTGGGCCTTTCACTTAAGCCCATTAAGGTCTCTATATATTGTAACTCTCTGACACAGATCAATACACAACATATTATTCTTCTATTATTTTATATTCAAGTGTACCCAAAAGTATTTCAACTACAAACTTCAAGCTTAATAAAACCAAAATTGGAGAAATAGCAGAATTGAAAATGTTAAGTTTCATATCCAACCAAAACTATCATTTATCAGTAAACCTAACGGTATAATATGTTTAGGAGAGACAAAACAAATATGTGGCAATGCGTTCTGTGCACAGTAATCGGGCATACCTTTTCGGGCACAATTATTTCTGGTGCACTTTCTATGAACAATTTTCCGTATATGTACACTCACTTTTAAAAAAAAATTATATTATGCCTTCTTGGGGAGATCAAAATGTAGTGTTACAACCCCTAACAGTAAAGCAGTTAGTCAGTGTGAGGTTAGTTATGGGAATAATAGCATGTGGTTAGTTATGGGAATAATATTCCCTTTTCTGTTATGGATGTGTTTTGTGACGTGAGGTAAAGTTGTTATATAGAGGGTAAGGAATAGTTGCAGGGGGATATGGAATATCTTGGGACTCGGGCATTGGGACAATCCAGGGGATCTATAATTCTCCTGGGTTTATCTTCTTCTTTTTTGTTAGTACAACGGGTTTATTTTTTCTTTTCTGCATCTTTGTTGTTTCTATCTGTAATCTGCCATTGTTGCAAGCTTGGCAGTAACATTCTCTTTTTCAATCAATATTATACCAATAGTTTCATTTCTTTACTATTTCTTTCCATTTCTTTTATTTGGATCCTATGATGTAGCTTTAAAGGGGTGCCAACCTGTATTTTGCATCTGATATTTCAATAATGGGGGAGTATATCTCATCCTCCAACTCAAGCAATCTTAACCTTTTCAGATTTAAATTAACTTTATTTTACATTAAAAAAATTAACTTCATATGCAAGTGAATGAAGCACTGATCAGGAAAGAAAATTGAGATATTTTGGAAGGAGAAGCGGATTGCAAACTTCAAAAATGGTTGGCTTCATATAGTTCCTTAAGTTCTCAGCTTCAGCACCTATAACATGCCCAAACAAATTTATCCTGTCTTCAAAAAATTTGTTACTCTTATTTAGTCACATTTTCAACACAATGAAATCCACAAAAAGATGTTGAGCTAATTCCAAACAATTACAAATAAAGACTAAAAATTTAAAATCTAGACCAAAAAGCTATTTTATACTACTGGATTTGAACCCAGAATTGCACTTATAATTCCAATTCAGTTGTAGTCCTAGATATACAAGGATGTTTTCGTTACGCTTATTGTTTCAGTTCTGTATCCTTAGCTTTGTGTTTATTTTATGGTATTTTGTAAAGCTGCAAAAGCTTATAAAACAAGCTGTGTTTACTACATAAAATTCAGAGCAGTGTCTGAGCAAGACACGAACTTCATTCTTCACCTTTGGTTTATGTCTTTCTGTTAATAGGTAGAAATGTGTTTCAGAATCAGAACTATGCAATAGTTTATTATACCATCAGTTAAACTAACATTCCCTTGGAGAACCTCTAAGTCTTAAACTATCAAATCCTATACGGAATTCAAGATCTTTTCAATGACTTGAAGGTCCACATATTAAAACAAAAATACAAGTATGGTAACAGTACTTCTACAACCAGCAAGGTTTAATTTTAGCTACTTGAATCCTGCTCCACAGAACCATTACCCTTGTCCTTTATAAAACAAAGCCATGCTAGTTACTTGCAGCCAACAATATAAGACTGTTTTGCTATGCATCATTCTCTATTAAATATCCTAATACATATCAGTTAGAATATTAAGGTTACTCAAATGTTATGAGTCTTGTCATGTTACTATTATGTTGGGCTCGTCCTAGATGTACAACAATAATGCTTGACCTAAATTAATAGTGCAAAATGCGTTAGTGGTTTGCATCTAAACACAACATATCAATCTAAACCAGTGATTCAAAGTCCTTCGTATCTATTTCCCCTATAATTCAATTCAACTATGCCCTTGTAAGAATATCTGATATCACATATTGAATGGACAACCATGTCACTCCAGATATAAAATATAACAAGAAACCAAACCTCAAACATGAGACTGTATTTTCCATCCTTATTCCGCATCCGTAAATATGATTGGCAAGTTTCTGGATCTTCACCAGGTGGTAGAAGATATATGTCATAGGTTTGCTCTGTTGTTTCCTTAAGATCTTCAGAGAGAACAGCTTTAATTTGATCCACTGTAACATCCCTTGCTGACTAGAACAAATTACACAACAAATTACTAATTTTTATTAATACAGCATCACATAAGCATCAGAATCAGCAGGACTTTTTCCTTTCCTTTTAACAAGTGGAATTAAAAAAATAATTATCTTGGAACTAACCTTTAATATGTAAGTAGGACTCTGGAATCCAGTAAATGGATTGAATTTATTGATTATTTTTATATGTGCTGTCTGGAGATCCGGCTCAATAAAGGCCTTGTACATTGGATATACCTGCAGAAGTTTAAACTTAAGCACTTCCGAAACAGTTACTTTCCAAATCTGTATAAAACGATGAAGGGAATTATAAAAGTATGAACCGTCTCAGATATTTGATGAATAATTTCTTCAGGTTCTTGACCAGCACGTTGTATGTCTCGTATAACTCGCTTTACGAGGTCAAGGTGAACTCCACCTGTAACAGAGACTCGAAGGTCCAGTAGAGGTCGCAACTTCTCACTCAAAGCATAGATGCCCTCTATAATCACAATACGGGAACTTGGGGCTTCTACGGTCCTGCAAGCAGCGTACATTTTAACATGAAATTGAAGGCATACAAGCCAAAAATGGTGTATCAGAGTATTTTGAATCAATTGAAATCAATCTTGAGTTAAATTAATCATTAACTTTAAATTTACTTTGTAATCACAGGAGACAAGAACATCAAACAGAAATTGAAGGCCCAAATTAAACAGCAGTATAGGGCTACATCGCTACACATATAGCTGCAGATTGCAAATTATTACCAAAATTATATATAATTTTCCTTATTTATTCTCTCTAATTTTTTTTTTCGTCAAATTGTGTTCCTATATCACTGCTCCAAGACAATAACTTTTCAACTCTGAAAATATGCCATATTGTACAGATACTCAAGATGGCTTAGAATTTTGACCTGTAACCTGTCCGTGAACTGGACTTGAAATCATATATAGGAACTTGGACTGGCTTTCCTTCCTTTAAATCATGTAGATTCTGGAGCAATGTCTCGTAGTCTGTTAACCGTGGATCTGCACAAGGTGATAACAGAATTAATAAGAGGTTGGTGTCCTAAGTTAAAACTTTTAGCCTACATCTAAATTTCATAATAACCAAAGCATGAACATGATACCTGAAACATTTTATTCTGTGGATCAGGTAAATATTTGCATCAAATGTACAATAATAAGCTTACATAGTAGCTCAGTCTCCCAAATGAAAATGCTGCTTACAAATGATTGACTTCCAATCAAGCCTTAAGAAATTTCAAGGCACACACACCTCACCGAAGCAGAAGGCAGGAGGGAAAGGGAAATAGAAAAAAATAATAATTTTTTTCATGAACCAACTATACCAGAGGATGAGCCTTGGAGCAATAACAAGGTTACTCTTTTGTGAGCAGAATAAAACTGGTTCGAGTCTGGAAAACCCATTAGCAAAAAATGCATGGAAAAGATGCGAACAATTGACTCTCACCCTACCCTTGGAAAGTCAAGGAGCCTTGTGCATCGGGGTTTGCCCTTTGCCTTTTCCCTTATGAACTAACTATCAAAAAAGCTTAAGCTTTTAGATAAGCACACATGAATAATTTTATAATCAATCTCAAATACGCCCCCTCACACCGAAAGTCCTTTTAGGGATTGAAGGGTGAACAATGCAAAGACCCAATTACTGATAGAGAAAAATTAAGATGCAGAAATATAACTCACAATGTTTGAGGAGGGAATACAAATTTCATAAACTGACTCAAACTTAATATAAACCAGAAACTAAAACTGAAAAACATAACATTAAGAGACACATTACACCCAAATAAACTCTAACTTAATGACTCATTATACTACCCAAAACTGACCCATTATGATACCGTTAAGACTCATCAAACAACTTTAGTGCAGCACATGGCCGTTACATCAAACTTAAAAAACCATTGAATTTTCTAACGGACAAAAAACAAAGAGACTCTAACATTCCCTCCCTTAAACTGATGTTCTTGAAAAATTCAGTTTACTCCAAATCCTTTGACTTTCTCCATGGAACATATGCCAAGTAATCCCCTGAGCTTTTGAAACGCAACATATTTGAGAGGCTTCGTAAACAAATCAGCAACTTGATCCTCACTTCTACAAAAAATAAGATCAATTATACCAGCCTTTGTAAGATCCCTTAAGAAATGATACTTCACATCTATATGCTTGCTTCTCCCATGTAAAATTGGATTCTTTGACAATTTAATTGCAGAATTATTGTCACAATAAATTAAAGTTGCTCCTTCTTGCTTGAAGTGAAGTTCTTCAAGAATTCTCCTTAGCCAAATGGCTTGGCATGCACAAGCTGTAGCAGCAACAAATTCAGCTTCTGTGCTTGATAAAGTGACAATTGGTTGCTTCTTCGATGCCCAAGAAATAGCACCTGTACCAATCATAAAAACATAACCTGATGTGCTCTTCCTGTCATCTTAATCTCCTGCATAATCACTGTCAGTAAATCCCACTAAATCAGATTTTACACCCTTCTTGTAAAATATCCCGAAAGTTCTTGTTCCTTGCAAGTAGCGAAGGATTCTCTTGGCAGCCAACAAATGCATTTCTGTAGGATTCTCCATATACCTACTAATTAACTTGAAATATGACGCCAGAAGGTAGTATAATGCATTTCTGTAGGATCCTCGAAATATGACGCCAGAAGAGGCTTGGAGTGGGAGAAAACCAAATGTGGATCACTTTAGAATTTTTGGATGCATTGCATATGCTCTTGTCCCGGAACAGAAAAGAAAAAAACTTGATGACAAGGCTGAAAAATGTGTCTTTCTAGGTGTAAGTGATACATTTAAAGCATATAAATTATTTAATCCACTGACGAAAAAAATTGTGGTTAGCAGGGATGTTGTTTTTGATGAAGAAAACACTTGGGATTGGAATATGCAGCAGCCTACCGAAGTTCTTTGTGATATTGATTCTGAACAAGAGCAAATTTCAGCATCTAGTATGCCTGAAAATTCGTCTATTGCAACTTCTTCAGCTAGTCAATCCTCACCAACAGTAGTTGGAGTTAACGAAGAAGAAACTCAATCTCTTCGTCGTGTTAGAAGAAGGCCTGCTTGGATGGAAGATTATGAGGTAACTGGAATTGAAGATCCAATTACTCACTTTGCTTTGTTTTCAGAATGTGATCCCGTGACTTTTGAGAGTGCTGTCAAAGAAGAAAAATGGCGAAAAGCAATGGATGCTGAAATTGATGCAATTGAGAGGAATGATACTTGGGAGTTAACTGATCTTCCAAATGGACACAAAATCATTGGTGTGAAGTGGGTGTTTAAAACAAAGTTAAAGGAAAATGGTGAAATTGACAAGCACAAAGCACGCTTGGTTGTCAAGGGGTACAAGCAACAATATGGGATTGATTATACAGAAGTTTTTTCTCCTGTTGCGAGACATGATACAATCAGGTTGGTGGTTGCATTGGCTGCACAAAATTCTTGGCCTATTTACCAGCTAGATGTCAAATCGGCATTCTTGCATGGGTACTTAGAGGAACAAATATTTATTGAACAACCCCCTGGTTATGAGAAAGTTGGAAATGAGCATAAAGTTTACAAATTGAAAAAGGCACTTTATGGACTAAAACAAGCCCCTCGAGCTTGGTATAGTCGCATTGAGTCTTATTTTCTTAAGGCTGGTTTTATAAAGTGTCCTTATGAACATACACTCTTTGTTAAGATTGGTGATGAAGGAAAAATGCTTATTGTTTGCTTATATGTAGATGATCTTATATTCACTGGAAATTGTGATGTTGTTTGAAGAATTTAAGAAGTCTATGATGAATGAGTTTGAAATGACTGATCTTGGTATGATGCATTACTTTCTTGGCATAAGTGTAGCACAATCAAGTGATGGAATTTTTATTTCTCAAAATAAATATGTGGAAGATATTCTAGACAGGTTTCAGATGAAGGATTGTAATCCTGTGCACACTCCAGTTGAATGTGGCTTGAAGTTACAAAAAGATCATGGAGGAAAGAAGGTTGACAGCACCTTCTACAAACAAATTGTGGGAAGTTTGATGTATCTCACTGCAACAAGGCCAGACATAATGTATTCTGTGAGAGGTGCTATTGCTGTTATTCAGATGAGTTCAAACAGATTGTTTCCATTAAAGATTGAAGGAATCCAATCTAGAGCCAGGTTGAGAGTTAAACACGTGAGGGAATTGAGTTGTGAAAAAAAAAAAAGTGAAGAGTCATGGCCACAGATTCTAATTTTGTGCAAGCAGCCATTCCACGTTTCGATGGTCATTACGATCATTGGAGCATGTTGATGGAGAATTTCCTTCGATCCAAGGAATATTGGGATGTAGTTACCAATGGTGTTGTTGAACCAGCACTAGCAGAAGGAGCTCAATTGACAGCAGCACAACGAGCAGCTCATGAAGCAGTAAAGTTGAAGGATTTGAAGGCGAAGAATTATCTCTTCCAGGCCATTGACCGTTCTATCTTGGAAACCATTCTTTCCAAAGAAACTTCCAAGGATATTTGGGACTCCATGAAAAAGAAGTATCAAGGCTCTGCAAGAGCAAAGAGGCAGCAGCTTCAAGCTTTACGCTCGGAATTCGAAACACTTCGAATGAAGTCGGGAGAATCAATTGCAGATTATTTCTCTCGCGTGATGACCATTGTCAATAAAATGCGAATTCATGGAGACGGGATAGAAGAAATAACTGTCATAGAAAAAATTCTTCGATCATTAACAGCAAAATTTAACTTTGTTGTTTGTGCTATAGAAGAATCTAAAGATATAGATGATTTGTCACTTGATGAATTGCAGAGTTCATTGGTGGTGCATGAACAGAAGTTCAAACAGGCAGACACAGATGAGCAAGCATTAAAGGCTTCTACCGATACTCGTTCCAACAATTTTCAAGGAAGGGGTAGAGGCAGAGGTAGAGACAGAGGCAGAGGCAGAGGCAGGTCCACTAATTTCAGAGCCAATAATGATCAATTTCAAGGCAGAGGCAGAGGAGGAGCCCCTGATAAATACAAGGTAGAATGTTTCAGGTGTCATAAATTTGGTCATTATCAATCTGAATGTTATACTAAGCTGCCAAATAGCAAAGAAAAAGGAGAAAGTTCAAACTTTGCAGAAAAGGAGGAAGGTGAAACCTTATTGATGGTTGCTAAAGATGAAAAGCAAATTGAGCCAGATGTTTGGTATGTGGATACTGGCTGTAGCAACCACATGAGTGGTAGTAAGTCTTCTTTCTCTCATCTGAATGAAAATTTTCAATCTACTGTGAGTTTTGGTGATCATTCTACTGTGAAAGTAATGGGAAAAGGTGACATTAAAATAAAAACGAAGAATGGTTTTGTGGAAACAATATCTAATGTATTGTATGTTCCTGATTTGAAAAGCAATTTATTGAGTGCTGGCCAATTACAAGAAAAGGGTTATGTGATCACTATTAAAAATGGTGTTTGTGAAATATATGATTCTGTGAGAGGTGCTATTGCTGTTATTCAGATGAGTTCAAACAGATTGTTTCCATTAAAGATTGAAGGAATCCAATCTAGTTTAATGGCTGAAATGAAAGATCCTTCATGGTTGTGGCATTTTCGCTATGGCCATTTGAGCTTTGGTGGGTTGAAGACGCTCCAACAGAAAAATATGGTGACAGGCCTCCCTCAAATCACAATTCCTCATTCCTTAGTATGTGAAGAATGTGTTGTTAGCAAACAACATCGTTCTGAATTTGCAAAAGGGAACTCATGGAGAGCAAAGGGAATTTTGCAATTGGTGCATTCAGACATTTATGGTCCAATAAATCCAATTTCTAATGGAGGTAAAAAATATTTAATTACCTTCATTGATGATTTTTCTAGAAAAACGTGGGTTTATTTTTTACAGGAAAAGTCAGAAGCTTTCTCTACATTTAAAATTTTCAAAGCTCGTGTGGAGAATGAGACAGGAAGGATGATTCAGACACTTCGCGCAGATCGTGGTGGTGAATATTGCTCAAAAGAATTTGAAGTTTTTTTGTGAAGAACATGGCATCCGAAAAGAGCTTACAACTGCGTATACACCACAACAAAATGGTGTATCAGAGAGGAAGAATAGAACCATCCTCAACATGGTTAGAAGCTTGTTGGTAAGAGGAAGAGTTCCAAAGACGTTTTGGCCAGAAGCAGTAAACTGGTGTATTCATGTCTTGAACAGAAGTCCAACCTTTGCAGTTCGAAATATGAATACACCAGTTTACTGCTTCTGGCCAAAACGTCTTTGGAACTCTTCCTCTTACCAACAAGCTTCTAACCATGTTGAGGATGGTTCTATTCTTCCTCTCTGATACACCATTTTGTTGTGGTGTATACGCAGTTGTAAGCTCTTTTCGGATGCCATGTTCTTCACAAAAAAAAAAAAAAAAAAAACATGATATTGGGTCTCACACTTGAGGGGAAGATGTTGGAAGTATTCAAGTATGAGTTATAAGAAAGTACCACAACGACTAGACATAGACCAAGTGATAACTTAAGGCTGTAGGTTTATGGGTCTTTTTGCACTTATATAGTTATCACTTGGTCTATGTCTAGTCGTTGCGGTACTTTCTTATAACTCATACTTGAATACTTCCAACATCTTCCCCTCAAGTGTGAGACCCAATATCATGCTCCCCCTTAAGGGCAACTTCTGCGGAAGTCTTTTTTCTTTAAGTATTGGAGTCATACTAAGCCTTCTGCGGAGGCCTTGAAACATCACCATCTCTAAATACCTGGCCTAGCACCTTTGGCTCTGATACCACTGTTGGGAATGGTATGGGGGAGCCCAAAACCCTTTGCAAAGGGTACATCTACCAATGGGCCAAATGACAAACCATAATAAGTGAGCCGACACCACATTTTAACCCAAAACCTTAAGACTGTAGGTTTATGGGTCTTTTTGCACTTATATAGTTATCACTTGATCTATGTCTAGTCGTTGTGGTACTTTCTTATAACTCATACTTGAATACTTCCAACAATTACTTTATGCTAAAAATTTTGTTAGAAGAATGGGGAGATCGAACCCCAGACCACTTAGTCATAGAAACTTATATATCATGTCATGAACCAACTATCACAAAAGCTTAAGCTTGTAAATGAAAATACACGAGTGGTTTCATATTACATCTCTAACAATTTTCATATTCGATAATGAGCTCAAGGGCAGAATAACTGAACTGGCATTATGCCATCTATTTTCTGCCCATTCAGGGATAATGCAGAAATTCTCTCATTTGTTCTAATTTAATTTTAAGTTATCCACTATTGAGTCTTTTGTAAGAACATCCTCTTCCATCCTTGACGTTCTTAGAACCCACTTAACGTAGGTATCCCATCTACTTATAGCCTTACCACTCTATAAGTGGATTTAACATCTCAGTTCTAAGTTCTAAATAATCAGACCAGACTTTTGACCTTACAAATACCCTAAGCAAGGTCAGTAGCGTATGACATGATTTACACTGTACAATTCTAATCACCGTAAAGCTGAATCAGTGGTGTATATCAGTATATACCCAAAAATTGAAAAAATTGAAAATAGAATTACCATTATTCAGAAGCCATAAAATATCTTATTCCATATTTAAGACTTTTATTAGGGAGAAGAAAATGGAGAGATGAGCCATGACATTCCTGCCCTCAGAGAAAAATTGTGTTTAATCATGCTATGCAGTCTGCATCCTGATAATGCACCATAGAAAGAATGACATCACATAACAAAAGACCAGATGATAATTTACCATCAAAGTTTCCATCAACAATTCGGCTAGCATCATTGTAATTATCCATTGAAATGACTGCAATGCTGGGCATGAAACTGAGTATTTTTTCCGTAAATACAGTCTTCCCTGCCCCTGAAGGACCTGCCACCCCTACCAATATTATTCCATCATTCTTTTGGGCTAACACTTGGCATGCACGAATTACTATAAAAAAACCCTTCTCAAATGATAGTTGATCTTGGATTGGAGCAATCTCATAGCGATCGGAGTCTTTCCTTTTAACCAAATGAACTTGATCTTTTAAAAGACCAAGACGTTTATTATGGGAATCAGAACCGGAAGTATCTTTTGCCATTGAACAGCTTCTGATTTCCTTTTAAGAAAGAGAAAAAAAAGAAGAAATCATTGCTAAATAATACATAAATAAAAAAACATAGCCTAACATCCATGTTAATGCCACAGATATATCCTTGTATCCCTGCACCAACGGACATGGTATGATTATAGCTTGTAAATCACAACATGAGTTTTTCCAATATAAATCAAGAAAGTAGACTTAGTATTCTTATTTCTTCCTATCCTTTCAGTAGTCGTGTAATTTTGAACACAACAACTGTAGTTCACATTTAACCCATCCTACTGCATAGAGGTAGAAGATACCCAAGTAATTACTAATTATAGAAACTACAGTTTTGTTTCATTATATGCGACCTATAAACTAGTCATACTCTTAGCAGAACCTTAACTTTGGAAGAAATTGCATATGCCAAACTTGGAATTAAAAGCAGAAACAAGATGCCCTGAAAAATATCCTCAATACACACAACCACTGGAGCCCTTGCTGGACACATCCCATAATAGCAAAACATGAAATCTCAATAGTACTGTCACAAGAACAAATAACCACACAATATATGTTGTATTTCACGGAAGATCCTATTGGCCCAAAGAGTAAAATTCTAATATCATGTTTAGAAGTTACCACAGAAACAGTAGACTCTAATGAACACAGGGACAGGATTTTTCTTTCCAAACACTGACTGTGAACAGATAGCTTTCAGGTATCACCATTAGACTCTGATAATTCCAACATCACACATGACACCCTCTTCTGTATACAACCTAAAACAAAACAAACAGCATTTTATTCCACAAAAAATTAAAAATGAACCAACAACTATTAAGAGCATGAGAAGGATCACCCGGATAACATAACTAGAACCAAAAAAAAAAAAAAAAAAAAAAATCACAACCCAAAAACAAAAACCAACAGAAGCTGTGTCCAAACATTGCAAAACCCACAAAAGGCCATTAACAACTCTGTCCAAGCAAGCACTCTGGATCCAAAACAACGATGAGAATCTCCAAGGTTTTAACACAAAAACAAGAATACCCAAGAAGAGAATGCGAATCAAAATTGATCCAATGTACACACTCGTGATGATCAGAGCACTCACCGAGTCCCCCTTAACGAGCAGTAACAGTGAGTTCAGCAACAACAACAACAACAAAACCAACCCAGAAGAGAATCCTAAATTTCAAGGTCGGTTCTGCAATATGTAAAATATATACACACACATATATGTATGTATATATATTAATTATGTTTTTTTTTCTGGCAGCCACCCTTTTTCCCCGAAATCAAAGGAATGTGATTTTCGGGGATTTTTTGGGAAGTGGGAATTGTAGAGAATCTGCAAACGCTCTAGAGAATCAACACAATCGTATATGAAAAAAAAAGAAAACAATGGTATTAATGAATATTTATTAGTATTTAAATGTTGTTTCCGTTTTGTTCTCTTTGTCAATTCAAAGGCGAAGTTTCTGCAACACTTGGAGTGTAGCACTTTCGCAAGTTTTATATATTAACATTGTCAAGTGGGCAATGTCGATGATATATTCGATTGAAATGGAAAAATTAGGATTAGCCAAATTTGTTTCCACTACGTCGTTTGTCAATTTAGGGATATTTTCGTGTTACATGAGATAAAATTATCTTACGAAAAAACGTAATTAGATGGATCCCACAATTAAAAAAAAATATTGACTCTTTGATGTGTGTAACATGAAATGAAATTTTTCATGTAACATGATAAAAACATTTTTTTTTCTTTTTTTGTTTTTGAACCGGTGGAAACATTTGAAATAGTCAGAATGTTTATTAGAATAGGTATTCTCATCGGGTTTAATATTTTTATAGAAAAAAAAAATCCCTATCACACTCGTAAAAAAGTGAGTGATTCCATTATAAAAAAAAAAAAATATTAATGGCACACTTGTAAAAGTGAGTGATTCCGTTATAAAGAAAAGAAAGATAAAATATTAATGAAACTCACTTACTTTTGTATAAATGTGCAAATTTCTGCAATAAAAGTAGGAATATTTCTCTCTTCTCGTAATCACCTATTTGATCCACATTAATTGAATCATGATATAAGGAATCTCACACTTGATTGTAATTGATAATTAAACCTTTTTAGAAATTCGTTAATTTTTCATTGGTTAAGAAAATTAATTTAGGATCCGATATACTTTTTGTAAATTTATTTGTTTTACAAAACTTATGTAAATAAATTCAACAACAAAAACTGACGCGTTACTGATAATTTTTTTTTTTTTTGTAGATTAAATATAATTTCTTACGAATTTTGTTTTGCTCATATCATGTTATATAAAATTATCTTTTGCAATTTAAAATGATATCATTTTAAGGTTTGGAGAAAAGAATCTACATATTTTGAGAAATTTATATATCAAGAAAGAAGCAAAATTTAAAAAAAAAAAATTCTTTGTTTCCAAATCCTAAAATCTTAAAATGATATCATTTTGAAATGGTTGAAGATAGACACGAATAATATTTTTCTCTTTTTCTATCTTAAAATTTAAAGAGATTAGATATTATCTCATTCTAACTTAATAAAGGAATTTATCTTTTCCATTTGAGTGGGATTATGTTTCCTTTTGTTGAGGATGCATCTTATTTAAGCATACTTTAATTTTCTCATGTTAATAATTATACTAATATATAATAATACGTGTGTGTGAAACAGTATTATTAAGACTTTCGTAACAATTCATGTGACATGAGGTAAAGAAAATCACATACAAATACGGGAAGCATAAAAAGTAGACACGCGTTATTGAAGTATGAACATCTGTAGAGCGATCGGTAAAGATATTTATAGAACAAACAATGACATTCCATAATCAAAGTGTAACATTATTTACACTGATTTTATCTCTATAATTTTTTTGATAGGTTTTGAAGTACACTTATTTAGATCAAATCATTACCGTTTTGCAAGTTTTTATTATGGATTTTTTTAAAAGAAATATATAATCTTACCTGAATAATCTACATAACAATTATAATCTACAAATTAACTTCCTCAGTACTCAACAAAAAGACAAACCCCATCAGTGATTGAAACGGAAGATGAGAAGACGCCAAAAATAGATATTGTAACCCTTGTTTTAAGTTGGAAAAGCACTTATACATAGGAATAAAAGTTTTTGGTTCACGTGGCTCTGATGAAATATAATCATAACGTAATACATTCTTTATAAGTGATGACACGTTACAAACTATATTATCATTATGATCATGAAAACCATACTACCTTTTATTGGTAAATAATATGGAGTTATTCTCACACAATATCTCAAGCCACTTTGATTTTGGAATACGATCTCTAAAATTAACTCTTCATTGAAAACAGATGATACATTGGAATACTGTTACTAAAGAAAGAGTGAGATTAATCTCTTTTGGGACACAATTTTCCTCTTATCCCAAAAATTATTTTAGCAAAAATTTGAAACTGACAAAAGCAAACCCTTTATATGATTTTCAATAAAAGAAATCAAATATCAACCAACTACTTACAAATCGTCACAATAATATAATTTGAATGAGAAAAAAATGTTTTTTTTATTTTATTTTCAGTAATATATTTTTATCTATAATTACAAAAATACCACCTTATTTTCATATTATTATTATTTTTAAAATTGTGAATGAAATGGTGAAAGCTAAATTTTTTTAATTCTCACCATTTTCTTTGGAAATTCTTAAAAATAGAAAATAAAATTGAATTTTTTTTATAATTATTAATAAAAACATATCAACTGTTTACTAAAAAAAAAAACATATCAACTGAAAATGAGAACAAAATATAAACCAAACTAAACACCACCCTCTTTTTTTCTTATTATTTTAGTGCATATGCAAATGTTAAAGTTATGATCAGGTGACATAGATATAATAATAACACAAAAATTAATGATGTGTAAATATAATTAATGATAAATATATTATAAAATTATATTGATTAATAACCTTTTAAACACTAGCATTTAATTAATTTATTATTCAGTAAAACAATTTTTTTTTTTTAAAAAAGACGATGTTAGGATTTTATAGTTGAATTTTTCTTTTTTTGGTAAACAATAGTTGAATTTAATTAGGCTTATTCAAGAATTATAGTTTAAGTTTTTAAGATTATATTTAACTTTTTTTTTGGTGTGGTGATTATATTTAACTTTTAATTTTATTTATGAAGACTAAACTGTAAATTATTGTATACCAATAAGAAAATTGAAAATGAATAAAATAAATATATCACTAATTTTTTAGAATAAAATAAATATATATAAATTGCGCACATATTTACAATATTTCTCAAACTATAGCTCTTTTAATTTCGTATTATAAAACCAGACTTATTTTATAAATAATAAATAATAAAATTAGGGTTGAGAAATTTTATTGCAACATAAAAACTTACTAATAAGAAATAATATCACCAAAAATATTGAAATAAAAAAAAATACAAAAATCATAATCATGCTATTTCTTTTTCTTTTTCTTTTTGTTAGATTTAAATAAAGTTACGTACGTATTACAATTATGCACAAACATGAATGCGTATAAAAATCACATAAATTAATATATTCTTGTCAGATCAAAAAGAAAAAACTTTAACATATAATTGAATCCTTAATTGGTGGTCGTGCTCTTGAATCATTTCCATTCTCCTCAAATGGTCATCCTACCCGCCGTAGAAGTAAATGCATGTCATCACTTGCTTGAAAATTAAGAAGCATTCATGCATATGTTCCTTTGTTTTCCTGACCAAACGTATTACTGTATTATAATTTTTTTTGCTTTTGGTGTGGAGAGTGAGCTACAACCATAAAGAAATATTTAAAGAGTAGTCACAACTCACAACTTAAAAACTATAAAACAGGATAAACTGGTGTTAAAATCTATCTTAATTTTTGAGCAATTTATGCATTAATTGCTTACTTTTTTTCTTGACAAAAATAAAATAAAATAAAAAGTAATGGAGGAGGATTTCAGCTTTCTAGTTGGGGGTGGAAAAGTAGGAATGGATTCCATCATCAGCATTGACCAAACCAAGAAAGACCCAAGAAAAAAAGAAGAAAAAAAAAGAAAAAGACAGAAAGAGAGAAAGAAAATGACACTAACTAAAAGGGTGGCCAAATTGAAGAAGAATTTGCCATCTGCCAATGAAATTAATCCATTTACTCCAAGCTTTTCATTTCCAAACGGTCCCTACAAGTTACTCATTATCTACAAGTAAGAATTTCAATCTGACATATGATTTGACTTGCAAATTGAAAGACCACAATTTAATGCACAGAAACCTTTGAACGAGTCATGAGTCAACTTGGGATTCTTCGTTTTTTTTTTTTGCTTCCCCTTTTTTGCATAGAAGGGATTCTTCTTTCTTAATTGCGTAACCATCCCTCTCTATTCTCACCTTCATTATTTTTCTTTTCTAGCGGCACCTTGTAGAGTATAATAGTTAGGTTGGGTACCCTATGGCCATAATGTGTTCCTTTGAACGAATCAGAATTTGAAAGCTATGCGATGTACGTAAGACATATATAAATAAAGATGCTTCATGAATTGTACGGAGTTTTCTTGTGCGCAAAAGTAATCGGTTTCATTGAAAGTAGAGTAATCAAAGCTTCGAGCTCCTTTCTGAAGAGGTGACGTACGTTTGTGAGAGAAAAATTTATTTATTTATTTTATCAAAGACATTGAAGATGAATTTGTAAATTGTTGACGCAAATTGTGTTTCATTACCCCGAGAGAATTTATCATCGTCGGCGACCATCATTTTTTACGTGCTCTCTTAATGTAAATTGGAGGATAAAATTGAGAAAGAAAAAAAATAGTAAGAATAAAAAAAGAAAGAAAAAATTAATATTATAAAAGGGAGCATCAAATTATTAAGTGATCCTGAACCATAAAAAATATTTCCCATTACCCCACCCCTCCTCCTGTCACAAACAATTCATTATGTGTATTTTTATTATCAATTTTGATTATTTTCATTGATTTTCAACCCTTATATCACACTATACGCCATTCAAAATTTAGGAGAGATTTATCATTTTACCCTTATTTTTAAAATTTATTATTTTGGCCCCTTTTAAAATTATATGCTAATTTTACCCCATTTTCAAATCATATATCAATTTATTTTCGTTTAACCTGTCGTTGACCTTCATTTACTCGAGTAACAGGTTAATTACTCGAGTAAATGTTTGTCAGAGGCTAGAAAGAGGGGCATCACTTATATTTTCTCTCTTCACATATTTTATTATTTTCTCTTACTTGAATACCTCACTAGAAATACTAAGTACTCGACTAATATCAACCAATGTTATCAAGCACGGATCATTCATCGATTTGGTCGAGGTATTAGGTTAATGGGTCGCTAATTTAATTAATAAATCACTGGCTCAACCACATAAATTAAATATATATATATATAATAAAATATAATAAATATAAAATTAGAAGCATTTTAGCTAATAATTAGAGTTGGTTTAGTGGTAAGTGCTTTAAGTTATAATCCACATGGTTTAAATTCTAATCTTATTAACATTATTTTTCAAACATTTTGTCCAAAATTTCACAAAATTGCCTTTTTTTTTAAAAATCAATACCGGTTTAATACCGATTGAACTTGGTTTACCAATTTTATACCAGATCAAATGCATAATTGATCCAATACCTAAATCGGACATATTGATGATTCGATTTATGGTCGAACCAGCCAGGTTGGATTGGTTTTTAAAACATTGTTATTAACAAGTAATCTATTACTTATTTGAGCTTGGAAAGTAATCAATTACTTTTCGATCAATAATTGATTACCCTTGTTAAATAAGGCAAAAATCAATAATTGAAGGGGTTTTTTTATGTAATCATGTGTGTATACCTCTTCGGAAGTGACGTGAGCTGTCCAACTCAGTCAAATTATCAGGTTTGTAGAAATTAAGATTTGTAGTAAAGTGGGTAGCCTGAATCGTCTCTTAAGAAATTTGCAAGATAATAAATCGCTCAATTGAAAACAGAAAGTTAAATGGGGGATTTTATGCGATTAAAAACATAAAGTAAAAATAAGGATTTGAAAACGGAATTATCAATTTAAGGACAACCAACCCAAAAATTAGGATTCCAAGAACATCCATCATTGGACAAATAATTACCCAAAATCATGGTTGATCCTAAACAAATCGGAATCCCTGCATTCATTTAGGAACTCATCTCTAGACAATCGCCTAGCGTTTAGTCAGATTCGGCGCATCTACTCGTGCTATCGCGGAATATCAACCCGATTTACTTAAGATCGTTGAGTTAATCAACCTAAACATTAAATCTACCGTTTAATCTCTTTCCTATAGTGCAATTGCAGATCTCATATTCAACACACACAATCGCACGATGTTAAATCTAAGTTAAAGGAAGATAAATGAAATTGGTTCAAGATGAAGCATGTGTCCTCAAGATTTAACCATGAAATCCTCAACCCTTGAGTTGATTAAAGAGCGCTTAGCCCAGTATGGCTAAGTCGAAAACCATGATTAAAAGATAGAAAACAAAGAACAAAATACATAAGAAAAGAAAAATATATTAATCTCCAAACTGTAAAAACACAAACTGAGACAATTTAACGAAAACTAAAAATTGAACTAACAAGGATTCATAAGCTGACACTATTTCTGAAAAGAAATAATTCTTTTCTGAAATAGTTTCTGAGAAAAAAATAGGAAGATAATTTCATTTTTCCGCCGCCACCGTCGTTGCCACCACCACCACCACACCATATGAAAAAGAAAGTGATGATTAGAAAAAAATTGTGTTTAATATGAATTATTTTTTATTATATTATTTATTGTGTCATCAAACACAATTCTCATTTCTAGAATAAAAAGAGAACATATTATCAAACATATTTTTTTTTCTCAGAAACTATTTCAGAAAAGAATTATTTATTTTCAGAAACAGTGTCAGGGAATATAATGATTGTCATACGTTCACAAAAAAAAGAATTGTTGTCATACATACCAAACCAAGACTCGGCAATTGCAGAATCTCCTTGTCGAATGGCCTGCTCTCCGCGGTCGGAATAGGTGAGTCAATTCCTTTCCTTAGAATCGTACTTGAGAGTTTCCTGGCTCATACGGCTCAGCAGTCAATTCTTTCGGTGTTCCGTTTTTTCTGGAGTTAACAAAAAAAAGAGATTAATTACATGAGTTTCAAAGTGTAATAAATATCAATTATCAAAAAAATGAATAATCATTTCTTTTACAATATTGAGCACTAAAGGTTTTTCTTTTATCTTTTTTAAATATTGTTTATAAGTAATATTATTTATAAGTAATATTATTTCTCATGTTATATGAAATAAATTATCTCATACAATATAAAAAAATAGGCAAGACTCACTTTTTTTTTTCTTAGTGAATCAGATTCACATTTTTATATATTATATAGGACAAATTAAATTATCACATGTGATATGAAAAATAATATCTTCTTACCCTATATGTACCAAGGCGTTAACGTTACTGTGGATTGTTGAGTGACTCCCCTGGAAATTCGCTTCTGCTTTTCATTCCCCCCGCCCGCCCCCGCGGCGATTTTGTTTCCTTTCGCTATATTCCATGCTTCGAGCCACTATTACGGGCATCAGTCATCATTGCTTCTGATTTGAAAATCTAGACGTGAACTTTAAAGCAACTTTTAACTTATAATATATTTTAAAATATATAAAAATGTTAATAATAATATTTAAAATAAAATATTTTTTTGGATCCTCGGTAAAAATTATTATGAAATTTATTTTAATCTCTTAGAAAAAAATTATTTGTGATTCTTTTAAAATTTTAAATTAGACTCAGTTAATCGATTTACATTAATCTTTCAAAAAGATTAACATGAATCTATTTTGAATTTCAAAAAGACCACAAGTCAATTTTTTTTTTCTAAAATATTTAATTGGACCGTGATATTTGTTGAGGATTCAAAAGATATTTTATTCTAATATTTAATATTTAAAATTTTTTACTTTTATCTTAAATATAATGTGCATTATTTTAATTTTTAATTTTAATTTTTTTGTATATTATGCATGATTTATTTAAGAAGCTGCCATCCCATCACCGAAAAATTTGTGAAAAGCAAAGCCTCCAAGTATGTGTTCCTATGATTTTAGGTTGGTAGGTTCCAACTTTCCCGAAACTGAATTACAACAGTCATGGACCCATCAACTATGAAAATGCAAAGGCTTGGGCTCAACCCACAAAATAATTTGCTACGATAAAGTTGGCTTTTCGAGCCATATGATTGATTCACTATGTTTTGTGACCAAAAAAACAAGGCCATAAGCTTCACAAATGCCGCCATAACTAGTAACTACATACGATCCAGAATCAAAACTAGTCCTTTCATCAAAATAAGCCGAATATTGATTTGTTACTCAAAATTGGTGCTGTTTATGCTGCAGTTTTATTCAGTTTGAAACTTAACCTCAAATTTATGAAGAATAAATATGTTTAAGGAAACAGCACTTTGTGTTAGACACTTAATATTGAACACGAAGCAACGCTTCAAAATACAAATGTACACATGAAATTTTAGAATGGTTTAGTTCTAAACCGTAGTTCATTGATGTTTATGAATCTTACTAACGCTATCAATGCTGAATTTGTTAAGTTTAAAAGGTTTTATTGAAGAATTTAATTTTAAAGCACGGTTAGTGCAAAATATGTCTAATAATATGTTGTTACGTCATATAATGTTTATGTTGTTATCTAAAATAAAATGTCAACACAAGATTAGATGATAATATAAAAAAAATTAAATTGAGAATGTACCAAATTCTTTAATCAGTTACAACAACAAAATAAAAATAGTAATACATAATACAGTCTCAAACTCTAGCACTGTCCAATAATAACGGCAAAGAGTTTATTACTTGACAGACCTAATAATGAAAAATGAAATAATCAACATGCTAACGGTTTAAATATCATATCAACACTGTTACCAAAAAAAAAAATATCATATCAACACATCAAAAAGTTCTATCAATATATTCTCAAGACAGTTATACAGTACAATGCAAGACATTATTCTAGTATAAGGTAGGTGGAAAATCGGCATTGTACCAAATCATGGAAGACGACAAATTAACAGGAATACAGGATAAGTGAAAATAATTTTTCATATTACGTGGAACATATGAAGGTGCATAATAATGAAACCATGTCATGATCAATATTTATTTATTTTATTAAAATTTACTGTGAGCTAATGAAAGTAATTTCTTGATTTGATTAGACTCTTGTTATAATACTTTCATTTTTTAACCTCATTTTGGCTCAAACAGAAGATGAAATTAATTGTCAAGACTAGAATGCACTTGTGCTCTTTAATTTATACCGAGCAAATATATATACTGATTTTTACCATTTTCGTTTTCATCTAGATTAAACATAATGATGGATATGCATACATGCATGAACCAAATCACATTCACTTTCATCTCTGTCACTTACTAGTGCCTAATACATAAAACTTATTGATGTGGACATTTACCAATGTAATTGAAATAGATTAAGTAATAATTAAAATGGGATGGTTAATCATTTTCATTTTAGTTACCTGAAATTTGTGAGAATTCAATCCAGAATTTGATAATAGGTGTATAAGTGATAGAAGCATTGTTTTCCACCTAAGGAGGGTGGTTCTTTCATCTAAAGTCTTAACAGAATGAGAAGTATATAAGCAAGCTAACTTGCACCAGTGAAAAGAGTAAATGGAATATTGTTTCAAATATTGGTTGTGGTTGTTGTTGTTGGAATATAAAGATTTTATATTTTGTACATTGCATGAAGGTTAGTTTAGACACATTTGGTAGTGGTTAGAAATAGAAATAAGAAAAGTTGAACTCAAGCACAAGACAAATAGCTTAGAGCTACTCCTTTATATAAATATATGAAATATGACTCGGGTATTGGATTCTACAACTTTGAATTTCAAATTCAACACTTTTCCCATTTTCTTTATATGATAAAGGAAATCAACCACTTTTAACTTCATTTGTTCATTTAATAAATGCTAGCTTAGATTTGACATAACAACTTGCAGTAGCTGAAATAATAAAATTGGTGGTTCTGTGTGTGTGGAAAACAAACCAAACGTACATAAAACACAAAAATAAAGTCTATGTGTTCACAAATCTGCAGTTCTTCCTAACTTCTCCGGTGATGAAGCTTTCTGAATTTGTGATATTTCCCATTTTCACCATTGAATACGAGAATTGCTGGAAGAAAGCAAGAGGATCTGCAGCATACTTCTTGACAAGCTCTCTTGTTTCAATTCCAAAAACACTTGAGTACATTTCTTGGTCTGAGTTAAGAAGTCCCTCCCTGTTTAATAGTAACTGGTAGTAGGAATTGTCAAAGAGATTGGGTGTAACATAGTCCAATGCTGATATGTTATTGTCTCCTCCCCCAATTGGTGGACAAATAGATTTCAGGTTGTTGAGGTGACTCTCAGATATTGGATTTTTCACTGAAGTTGATTCAAAATCTGTGTAAATCCTTGATCTGAAATTCTGACACCGTGCCATGCCAATGGTGTGGGCTCCTGGAGGGTTTGTGATAAGAAAATTTAGTATGGAGAAAGTGCTTCATACACCTAGGAATCTTATAAGAAAAGAAAACCAAGTCTTGACTTTTGTTGCAGGGTAAGAGAAAGAGGTAGGTCATAATAGTCATATTTTGATTATTGATTCTATTCACTTTTGTTGGAGATTATGTTTATTTCATTTAAGTTGAAATAGGGATTATTTTGGTAGAAGTGAGAGTCTAACTAAATAGGTTGCTAGAGTTTTATTGCAGAAATAATGCAAAATGATCTTTTTCAACTTAGCCAACTCTACTCTTTATATGCTAGCTAGCATTTGTATGTTCTTTTTAGCTGTCTTTACTGTTTACTTAATGTTGCTATATTTGCATGAAATAATTTTGGATGCTGCTTTTAACAGTTACCAATGCAGACAACACCTATGAATGTTTCAAGGATCTAATTGATGAGAGTATTTTGATTGATAACTGTTTTGTAGAATAGTTATGAAAATAAGTGTTTTTTTTTTTTTTTTTTTTTGAAAGTAAAAAGTCAAAACATAAAACAAAAATAACTCAGACATGTTCTCTAAATTTGATTTTAAAAACAAACAAAAAACAACTATAATTTTTAATTTTTTTTTTTACAAAACAGCCTTATCAAATGAGTTTTTTATTTTATTTTTTTGTTCTGAAAACCAAACAACTGTTTTTAGAATAAGTATTCAAACAGGATCTAGGTCTTTTGTTTTTCAAAGTTTTATCCCAATATCAGGAACATACCTGAAAGGGCTACCATATCCGTGACTGATAGACCTTGATAAAGAAACTTGGAGATTATAGAGAGAAGACTCTCATTCGGAGTGGGAAGATTGGTGTTAGCAAGTTCAAAACTTGCAGTTATAGAATCCTTCCTTCCCACTGGAACATCCCAGTAAGGTCCACCTACCTACAAGAGATCAGAGGATAGAAAACATTGCATAACAACAATAACTTCTATGCAGAAATGATTAAACTTTATGGAAAAAAATTGTATAAACTGTGATAAAATCTAGAAGCTAGCTGTTTCTTTTACCAGAATCACAGCATCTCTAGCTGCAATAGTGAGAACATCAGCACAAGAAACAATTCCGGGGCATTCTGATTCAACTAAGTTCTTGATTCGATCAACAAGTCCGAAGCCTTTTAGAGAGTGGATGTTGGTATCTGCTTTCTTCTCACCTTTAAGTGTGACTGTATCATCAAGCAAAACTGATCCATCGCATCCCTGAGACCATGAATGTCACATTTAGTAACTGTTTATTTACTATTTCTCCTCAATAGATTCATCTTGGCTTTATATTATATAATATGCTAGTTGTAAAGAAAATCTAAGCAGTTTTCAAGTTGTATACCTAAGAGTACATAATACTAGAATATTCATAAATGTAAAAAGGGCAAAAGGAAAATAAAAGTGCACAAGGCTCCCTGATTGTGAGAGTAAAGGTGATGATCTATTGTATGCAATCTTATCCTTGCATTTTTTACAAAGATATTGTTTTCAACTCCAATCTGTAAACTTCCGATCACAAGGAATAACTTTATTGATGCTCTAAGACTCGCTTTCAATATTCATAAGTGTAATACAATGACTATTAACTACTACTAGTAGTCTAGTACTATGTAATGTAATTTTATTTTAAGCATGAAAACAGTGCAAATACTACTATATAGTAAAGTTCTAGACCTGAATAAAGCAGTCATGGAAGTGAAGCCGAAGTATCAAGGCTGCGTTACGGGGATCAGAAAGCACTGCACATTCCATTTCCTTCTTAACAATATCAAAAATAGTGGGACAAGTTGATGCATAGTAATCCAGTGTTAGAGGAGGGTCACTTGCATACAATCTGGTGACACCATGCAAACCGAACATAAGAACAACATGTAGAAAGAAGGATTTTGAAAGAAAGGAAGGATCCATTGTTATTGCTTTAACTTTGCTTAAGAATTCAGGGTGAGAATTAGAGCATATATAAGTTGCAACTTGTAATTAAGAAGTAGAGAGTTGCACCTTGTCCTAAGAGTCAAAGAGAAGATGCAACTAATATGAGTAAGTTGGTGGGTATTCTTAAACTAAAAGTAACATTCTCCGCAGAGAGAGATAGAGCTAAAGAAAAAAAAATGATTAAAAGTTGTGCGCCCGCTATGAACAATTTTTCTCAAAAAAATTTAAGGCCAGTCACCAAACCAAAATCTAATAACAGCTAATCTCAACTTTTTGAGCATCTATCTGAATGAAATTAACCCATGTGCTCTTCACCTTTGAGCATATATCTCAGGGTATAAAGTATTCCATAAATTTATTTGCATGTTTTGTTTTCATCTTTCTGTCTTTTTTGTGACCGGGTTAAACAGTCCAACTTTGAATACATTAGGTTTAACCATCTTGCATTACATCACCTTAATTAATATTGTGAATGGGAGAAAAAATCAATTTCATTTGCTTGCCACAAAAGCCATCTTTGTAACTAACAGTGACGAGTTTACATATATATTCCACACGTCAAACATTTTCATATAATGTCAACTTGCACGTTAATTAGCCTTCTTGTTATTTCCTTCCAGAATAAGATTGCATATGGACTTTCTCAAATTCTTGCTGATTTTACAAAGAAAAGAAATCTATTGTGAGTTTTGTCATGATCGTGAAGTAGAAGATTAAAACAATGTCTTTAATCGTGTAAGAATGCATAGCAGAAACCTTCAAATTTCTCATCCATACTGACTTTCTCATTCAATAAAAAAAAATTCTTAGTCCTCTAAGGACATGGGGGTGTCCTTTTTGAGTCCTGCTGTCATCTCTCTCTAGATAGTGGTGCGTAAGAGGTAGTGCAAGATGGTTACATCATGACCCCAACAAATGGTTGCAAGTAATCCAGAGTCAAACAGGAGCGGGATTGTGGCTTCGAAGTACCTATGCTGATTTTCTTTCTTCAATATTTACTGAAATTCATTTTACTTTTATTTTTACTTGTATGCATATCATGTAGCTTATCATTTTTTATACTCCCTTTTAAGAGTTATTTTTGTCTTCAAGTTTGGGTTAAATACCACATTCATCAAATATAAGTGAATAACTTGTTTGTAGAGAATTTTGGACTTTGAATTTACGCATATGATGGAATACATATTATACGTGATGTTGCAAGATTTTTAAGTACCCGTAGCTAACACTAAATTGGTTTTTTATCCATGACAAACATCAGTGTCAAGAGGAAGCAAAAAATTTATCTTTCTCACACTGCACCTATGGTCCTCCATATCTACCATCATTCAAAAATCATGTTTATGTACAGCTTGAAAAGCGTCTTTAGAAGTGCAATTGAAAGAAATTACATCGATTATCGATTATGCCTACTACTTACGGTATTAATTTAAGACCACAAACACAGAACTGGGCAAACATTCAATTCAAAAAAGCACGAGATCAATAGTTCTTTCATTGACCAAAAGCAGAAACCTTGCATGCAATTGACCACAAAAGACAAAAATCGCACACAACCTATGAGACAGATGATTGATTGACAGAGTAGTTCAGGACAACAAGAGATCCACAACAGATCATGTATTGCACGGCATCAATTGCAAGAACAGTAGCAGCAAATGCAAATTTGATATCCACATCAACCATTTGTAGAAAGGTTTTATTACTGTTATGTAATATAATGTAAGTGTTGTTTCCATCTCTCACATCAAAAGGTAGAGAGAAGGTGGAATGACGAAAGAGAAAGAAAAAAAAAAACATGTGGATCCCACCTCTGTGTGTAGAAAAGTGAAGTTACATCATGTTAAATGATAAACATAAAACCGTTTGTAAAATAGGTTCACAAGGCTACAGTTAATCAATCATAAGGCAGGGTTGCGAACAGATGGTGAGATTTTCACATGATCTTGTTGTGCCTATATCTCTTCCTTCGTAAACATTCACAAAACAAATTTCGGTAAACACAATTTTCAAATGAGAGAATCTTTCATTGACAGGCTAAACCATAACAACGCACAAACATCCTAACATTACATAAAACCATAAATACAGAAAGAAAGAACAAAAAGAAAAAAGAAAAAAGGAAAAAAACTCGTATCATTGAAAATTACATAAAAAGACAGCATAATTCAAATATACAAGTCAGATCGGAAAAGCGGATCCTTACTCCTCCCAAATCTCAAAACCTCACCACTCGAACCAAAATCGAACCCACGCAACACTCCACGCTGAAGCAAACCCTTTAACAAGGAAACAACAGAAGCATCGAATTGAGGCCAAGAAACACAGAGACTCGCCCTAACATTCAAAATCTGGCACCGTCCGAGAATCGCGGCGCCCAAACCGTCAACGACGCTTCCGGACGGGTAATACTCTAACGACCCATCCAACAACTTTTCTAAATCCGATCTCTTTCTCTCGGCGGAGCTCTCCAGCTTAAACGCCACCGCCTCTTCGGGCGGCAGCCGGCCGCGGTAATTCCGCGGCTCGACGGAATCGAGGACGAGAACCGATTCCGGCCGGATCCGGTCTCCGACGAGGAGCTTGGCGACGGCGTGGGCGCGGTCGGCCGCAACGGGGCACTGGACGGAGACGAGGAGTGCGTCGGCGGCGGAGAGGGAGTGGATGTTGGAGGTGTTGTCGGGGAGGGAGAAGGGGAGTTCGGGGAGGATGAGGGAGGCGAGGAGGGTTTTGTCGTTGCGGTGGTGGTGGAAGAGGGCGAGGGATGGGGCGGAGAGGGCGAGGATGAGGAGGGTGGGTTTGAGGGGTTGGTTTTGTGGGAGGGAGTGAGGGAAGAGGAGGAAGGGTGAAGGGAGTGGTGGTGAGGGTGGTGTGAAAGTGTTGAGGTCTTCTTCTAAGAACCTTGAAGGTGGTGGTGTTTCAGTTATCACATCTTCCATTCTTGTGTTTCTTTGTGTTTGTTTGTTTCACTCACAGAAAACAAAACTCTTCTTGATTTGATAAAGGAGACTTGTTGCGCACACTCTCCTTTACTTTAGTTTGTTTGCTCTCTCTTTCAGTCTTTCTGGCTGCGCTATAATAGTGCTTAGGATTAGAGAGTTCTTTTCCTTAGGTTAAAATAGACTACTTACTTCGTCTCCCTACTTTAACTAGTTTTTAAGGAAATTTTCTTCTGTGAATTGGAAATATCCACTCACATCTTTCTTTCAAAAATAAAAAAAAATTTCTTTTCATTTAATTCATATATTTTTAATTATTTCTCATCAAATTTTAATTTTTTTTTAACAGATACATGATAATCGGATGAAAACAAAAATCTAGAATGACATAATTTGTGTCAATTATAATTTTTTATTCTTTTAAATCAATTTTTTTAATTAATTATGCAGTATTTTTTTTATAATTTTAAATATTTTTCTCTTCTTATTTATTAAAATTTAATTTTATGTGAATTAGACAGTGCTTCTCCGGGATCAAATTGGGATTTAAAATTTTAAATAGTCCCTTTCAACTATTTGCGATTTCCATCTTTTCGGTAAATACTTTTCTTTCTTGATTTATACTTTTAAATTTTAAAAATTCATTCATTCATTTATATATATAAAAGATATTTTAAAAAATTACCTTTCATTTATATTATTAATTTTACTAAAATATTCTAAATTTTTTTAGACCCAAAACAACGATATTTTAAATTTTCTGATGCTAAATAATTGTTAATCCCTAAAATAAAAGATTTCAAATTTTTTTTTTTTTTGGAAATAAGATTTCAAATTATTTAAACTAATGGTTCATTTTTCTACGGTTAATATAGATAATTTATTTTCATTGAGTCCAAAACGACATCGTTTTGAGGACGAAAATCAAGATATTTTTGTAATTATAATTTATTACCGCACCGGATCCCATCAGAACTCATGTAACATTCCGAGTGCTGACAATTATATGGCTAGTGGAAGAGCTAATGTACAATTGAATGTATGGTTAGTGGAAGAGCTAGCGTACTATCAGCGGGAGGGGTACATGAATGAATTGAATAACACCGGAAAGAGAGGGATTCCAGAGATTGTGCTGGTATAGAACAGCACAGTTGAGGATAGCTTATAAGAATTAATTGGTACTACCTATACTAACAAGATGCATCTACTTACTCTTCGGTAGCCCGGGATCGAAAGAACTCCGGAGTTAAGCATAAACTAATACACTTGTATATGTGTACATGAAATAAATTTATAAAAAAGATAAACCCTTTTTCTTATCATCATTATCCTCTAAACAATGCAAGACCCGAGTAGAAGATCATAGCCATTTTCTGTAATTTTGGTCAATGGTCATGGTAGCGGAAATTGAGATGGACATGGACATGTAAAGAACGTGAATGCAGAAAAGTTGGACGTTAATGTGTCGTGGCTCGGGTCAATCATCCCATTAATTTTACTATTATTGTGAAAATTTATATGCGTGACATTCATTTTATTGTTAGTGCATTAACAAGCCAAAAGTTGAGGTTTTTTCACTAGTGAGTTTGGAGCTTCTGGGTTTTTCACTGGTGAATTTTGGGCTTAAGGGTTTGTTTAGAATGTTTGATATCATTACTGACCTTTGACTAATGAGTGCAGGTTTCGGAGCTAGGGATTGTGGCTCATTCAGAAGTGATTTGTTTGTCAATGGGAGCTTCTGATAACCTATATGGACGATCAGGCCTCTGATTACTGCACTCGGCTTCCATCCACTCTTTTGTAGGAATGGGCTTGGGTGGTTGCATACTTCAGGTTATCCATGTCTCCATTTTATTTTCCAATTCACGAAAAATCAAAAGTTCAAAACACACGGGGGTTGATTGAGAGAGAGGGAGGTATGAAGAGGGGTTTGCCTTGGCCTTTTTTACCTATTTTTACAGAAATGATAAAAGAACAGAGGATAGGAATATCGCTTTATTGAAGAAGTATGACCTCTTACACACAAGATGCTATGATTTAACTTATCTCATACCCTTCATTGCTTCAGATAACATTTTAAATAGAAAAATACATAACCGTACTAAGCATGAAACTACCCAACTAACATAATGAAAACTAACTACTAACGTAATGGAAACTAACTTCTATCCACTACCCCACTTAATCAACAAAATAACTGTTCCTAACAGAGGGGCTCAAACTTTGCACTGTATAGAACTTTTCTACATCGTTTTTGCTTCAAGTTATAATTGTTAACATGAACGGGAAGAAAAAATAAATTTGATAAGCTGCTTCTAATTTACACTATAGTTATGATGAATTTCACTTTATCATGGTGCCAACATAAATCTAATTATATTCGAGACATCTAGGATGCCAGTAAAACAACTCGATACCATTTTAATCAAAATTTACTATATTCAATCTTGTTTTTCTGCTCATTCTTCATGTTCATGTTCATCTTCTGAATCTGCACAAAAGAAAATGTAAAGAGCAATTTACAGTCAGATAACCAGTTAAAATTTCTACAGACTAAAGTCATTACAAAAACTATGGCAACATATTTGGGGTTAACATCATCGAGATTGATTCAATGAAATGCAATAATTTCTGATGTTATAATTAACGCATCAAGAATAACTTGTGTATCCCATTGAGTGATGGAATTGAAGGACAAGAAGACTCTGGCCATGCACAAGTCAACTTAACCTCCATTATCCATCTTGATCCTAGAATGAGTTGACACTAACTCAAGCCGCAACTTCCACAACCATAAATATATTCTTAATTGTTTGTTTAATTCCATGCAGATTCTAAGGATCCAGATCAATTTTTTCAGAAGGTTTCATTTCCAATCAAAAGTTCATATTGGGAAGCCATATATGTATTCAACTCACCAGACCGAATATCTTCACTAACTCTTCCTTTTGCTTGGATTTGTTTAGCAAGCATCCGAAGCATCAGCACCCACCAATAAATATGAAGAACTAGCAAAATGAATAGAAGACTATTGAACACATAATAATATATTGTACCGTCCACCCTGTTCTCCAAGACGAGAACAATTTCATAGCTGCCAAAAGGAGAAGAGAATAAAACAATTAAACTGAGGAATAGTAATAGGTGGACAACGGACAGCTCTAGCATTACTATTTAGATTGAATTATTGAAATTTCTGCAGAGTCGGAAACAAGATTTTCCCCCTTATGGTGCTTATATGAAGATAAAAAAGATTTAATTTGACCAACCATTGATTTAATTGATAAGGAGCTAGTTTCCCATCACCAAAAGTCTCGAGTTCGAGTCTTAGAAATGGAAAAAATAATATTGGGAGAGCCACCCCAATACGGTTCCAACTGAGCTCGAATTAGATTGCTCAAGTTATCGATGAATCGACAGAGAAATGAAGAAAAAAATTAATGAGTACAAACTCTAGTAAAACTTTATTCTATAATTCGGCTCAGACAAGACAGCTAAAATTCCTTAATCCAAGTAAACAATGTTTTTTTTTTCTCCATAAATTCTATTTCAAACCATTTAAAACTTGGAAAATGAATATCGGACTTACATATCACTGATTTTAGCCTTGATTTTTAAAAGTCAGAAATTAACACGACAAGTAAATAGTAGGATTGATAATGGACAGTATGAATAAGTAAAGCATGAAATAGATGACATTTGCAGAATAAGGATTGTTGACAATCTACAAAAGCCTAACTCAAGAAATCTGCTTAAGAGAAAACCCCCATTATATAAAAAGTCCTTCTTTAAGACCATTAAACAACCAATCAGACCAGTACAGCAGGCCAATTAGTCTTTCTAAATAAATCTTGACACCATTTCCATTCAAATACCAGACTGGAATATGCTAGAGAGACAGCTGTTGGACAGACAGAGAAACAATAGTAGTGTGCAGAATTCCCACTAGAACAGCTTCCTTCTTGTTAAGAACGTAGGAGGAAAAAAAAAAGTGTAAATCTCCCCCAGGAAGACAACTTTTGAACCTGAAGAGCAACAGACAAGTTGATCATCTGATAGGATCAGATAGTAGTTAGTTAGAACAATTAGGTGATTAAAGTAGAGAATTAGGTTAAATAGGAGGAGAGAGTAGAAGAGTGGGGATTCTGATTGGTTATCCTTTGGAAAGTGAGCATTAGCTTTGTTGTAGAAAGGGGAGACCTTGGAAGTAGAATGCTCTCCTTTGTTCTTTGTGATTCAACATTACCAAAATATTCTTTTTTCTTTCCTTCCCCTGTTTTTCTCCTCTCTCTCTCTCTCTCTCTCTCTCTCTCTCTGTGAAAACTAAGAATCCAATTATGGGTTCCTTACACCATCCTTTTAAAGTATTGAAGGAATTTTTTACTTCCAGTAAATATGTGTAGTGACATCATATAACTCACCTAGATTAGCAGCTACAGAATGAACAAGTGAGGAATCGTAGGAGACAACAGAAAAAAAAAATGTAAATTGGGAACTGAATTAATACCATGTACTCCGAAGAACCCAGAATGGGTAGTAAATGAGGCGCAGTATGGTCCAAGACAAAACAAAAAGAATAAATGCAAAGCTAGCTATTGTTTCAGCACCACTGTATTTAGACATTTTCCCTGTCTCCAGAAATACATCACTAGCATCGTGAAGAGCTAAAACCATTGATCCAACACGAGCAAACCTGAGTGTATTAACACAGACATTATACTGGGTGAAAACCTTATCAAAATGAACTAGTGAAATAAATTTAAATTAAATAGAAATAGTGCAGGCATTAAGGTCACAATTTCATCATAAAAAAAAACTATTTTGGTAGACACACTAATGATTTTTGAAAACCTTCCTCATCTCTGTGTCCATCTCTCTTTCACACGCACAAATGAAAGTTTTGACACATTTAACTCTTTTAATAAAGAGTTTGAAATGAATTACATTCAAACAAATTAAAAAATTATGGCTAAAGATCGACCACATTGATGTGTTTCCAAATAAAATTTGTCAGATTAATGCATTTTTGAAACTACCCTAACTAATGCAATAAGTTCCACACATGACAGGGGCAGGACTGAGCCCTGTACATAAAGGTTGTAAGACTTAGCATATCGCGCCATATGTGGCACATTCAGATTAAGTCCTGCACAAGGGAGGTGTGGGACTTAACGATGATAGAGGGAGAAAGTTCATTTTTTGGCTTCCTCTCTTGCACACTCAGCTGGACACGGGAGGGTCTTGAACTGACAAGAATTCTTTGCTCTGCAGAAACCTCCTTCTTCTCCGTTGGCAGAGGTGTCAACTTGTCATAATCTGATGCTTCATCAGGTGGAGGCTTTGTTGGCTTTTTCTCTTTTTCCTTTCCTTTGTCTTTGCCTCCTTGCTCATCCTGTCCCTGATTGTTGCATTACCATTTCCTTGACCATGAACAATGGCAGCTTCCATAGTGATAAGATGCTCCACTTTCTTGTAGCCATCTCAGTGATCTGTAACACTATTAGACTATTCGTTTGATCCTTTGTTTCTTTCCTCTTCTTTGATGATTTTCAATATTTTCAGTGACACCAGAGGATAGATGGACAGGACAGATACTGAAGAGAATATTTATAGAGGATTTGGTATGTATATTGGCCCTGAATTTCAGCTTATGCTTTGCTAATATCCTTTTCCTAAACTCTTCAAAAGTTTGTGGTTGCTTGGTAGTGATACACGGGCTACTCAATGCTAAATTTTGAATGTACCAACAAGATTTATTGACCAAGTTAACACAAACACTAACTTGCTGTTTAAACATTTTCCTCCTATGATCCTATTATTCTAAATGCAAGTAGGCACGTTCTTTGTTTGGCGAAAAATAAAAAGAGAGCTCTAGTCTCTAGAGAAGACTAGGATTATTGAGCCAACAGTGTAACCTTTTTTTTTCAGAGCTTCAATTTTAAGCTACACGTGACTAATAATTGAAGTTGGTTTGTGACTAAAGATGTGCGGGGGACTTGCCTGTGTATGTCATGTGATGCGATCCACTGAGTCTTGCACTTTCTGTGTGCGGGACTCAGTCGCGCACCTCTCTAGTGCAGGACTTATCACATTATTAGGAAAATAGTTTCAAAATGCATTAAAATGAAAAAATTGTTTAAGAAAATGCATCAGTACGGTGGTTTAGCCAAAAGAGGCTACTACAAAACTATATTGCCTAAAAATCATAACACTTTATGACCAAAAACTAAAATAAAACATAACACTTAAAATGCTTGGATGACAAGACAAACAAAAATCAATGATAACATACCTAAAAATATAAGATAACACAATCAGAATGAGAGAAGCAACATGATGGCCCATGGAGATCCCAAAGTCAGAGCGCCTTGTTTCCCAAAATATTAAAGCAAGTATGGAGTATGAATAAAATCCAGCACCATACATATAGAGCCCCTTCATTCTCAATCTGAAATGCTAGAAGGTTACTGTTCAATCAACCAATTTAAGTTGAATATAAAAGATTAAAAGTCACAGGAAGGACAAATGACAAAAAAAAAAAAAAAAAGATTAAAGATTGTCACTGAAAAACCACAATAATTGGGCATGTAAATAAACAATCTTACTTAATCTTTTGATCTGGCCATATCTGACTCCCTGGACCCACCCAAAAATATCTTGTATTAGTAAACCAAGGCTCATCATATGTTACAGACAAAGCAAGAATTTCTGCAGAAAGAAAATAAATGCATTTCCAGGCTGATTCCTTAAATTTCCTAATCTTCTTTTTTCTCTCATATGTCTGAAAATCCAGCATCTCATGTCCCTTTCCAAAAATCAATCGTCTTGCCACTTTCTGCAAATGCCATTCACTTTAGATTGACTAAATCTAATCAAAATATCCAAAGAAATTGATAATTGTAGAGAAAGAGTAGCCCAGCAAAGGAAGACTTTTAAGCATCAATACAGTTTGAAAGAAAAATAATAAAATAAAAAATGAAAAGAAACAAGTCCTTTTCCCCTCTTGGTATATAGGCTAAAACAAAAGTATAATAATTGTCTAACATGTAATGATTCCACATCACATGGATATTAAACAACAATTATTGTTTGTGCATGGCACAGCTCTCTCAGCAGTTTATGAGGTGAGTATCCTTATAGAGAAAGAATTCTGAGAGGAAACTAATATAGAAAAAGCCAGACATGAAATAATTCCACATCACATTTCATATTTTCCCTTTTGCTCTTGTAAATATGTATATTTCTTAGTCTCTATAGAATTAGGAAAGGATTTGAGGTAAAACAGTGTGTAATCGGTCCACACAAGTAGGTATTTATACTATATAAGAGTACTCATTACAAGAGGAGATAATCCATACATGTATAACGAGTAATAACTAAGACTACTCATATACATGGGCCTTAAATCTAAATCATTATTCATGTGCCGTAAACCATTTAATTCTGACATTCCATCTCAAACTAGAGCATAAATGTCATATGCTCCGAGCTTATTACAAATAAAATCAACCCAAGGGCCTTTAATAGACTTAATAAATATATTAGCTAATTGATCGTTGGAGTTGACAGAGTCGGTAACGAAACGATCTCCCCTAAAAGAATCTTTTCTCTAACAAAGTGGTCAATCTCTACGTGTATGTTCCTGTCATGAAAGACTAGGTTAGAATCAACATGTAATGTAGGTTGTTATATCACAAATCAATTTTATTTCTTTGAAATCTCCCAATTTGAATTGTTGAAGCAATTGCTTTGACCATAAGTTCAGATGTTGATATTTGCCCTCTAAAATGGATCTAGTCATCTAGCAATTATGTTATGTTTCTTACTTCTCCATGAGATTAAGCTGCCTCCAACAAAGACACAATACCCTGAAGTTCATCTTCTATTAGACGATGAGTCGATCCGATCAGCATTTGAATAGCCAACAACTAGAGCATTGCCTTAGTTTTCATAAAGTAACCCTTTACTTCGAGCACTCTTGATGTATCCAAGAATGCGGACCACAGACACCCGGTGGCTATCACAAGGAGCATTCAGAAATTGACTTACCACATTTACAACAAAAGTAATGTTCGGTCAAATTACTGTAAGGTAGTTGAGTTTACCCACAAGACGTCTATATGTGCCAAGGGGTTGGTCCATTCTAAAGATAATTTTATTTTTTATTTTTGTTTATGGAATTTCTAGATTCCCTTCTAAATCTCCTCAAAATCCTACCTTTTGTTTGGGGTATCAACACACACTTTCGATGAAATTTTTTACGGCAATGTTCCTATCTTCCAACCATTCTAGCATCGAGCAAATTATTCTTTCCAAGCCTTATCTACAATAACACATATCACATTTCCTGCCCCAACTTCATCTGTTAGCATTTTCGCCCACCCACTTGATATCTTCAATGCTTATAAAAGTTAATACTTCTCAGCCAAATACTTTCATAGATTTACCATAGCAAGTGTTACAAAATTCCAAGAGCAAAATCCAATGGGCTGAAAGACAAACACAATAATGAACTTGACACTATCTCTTGAACCATCCTCACTAACTTGAATTTCCAACATATAGAGCTCCAATTACCACCGATAATTAAAGGTAAATAAAAAGAAAACAAAAAATAGGAATGTTCCAAAGATAGGGGAACTAAAAAAATAAAATAAAGGCAGTTAAGTTGAGTTGACAAGAGTAAGAATAAAAGGGTCAATGGAAGCAGCTGAATAGTCAAAAAAAAAAAAAAAAAAAACTCATCAACATGAGTTTTTTAATGGCATTTTGGTAGGAGAGAGAAGAGCAACAGAAACAGAGTAGTACCTCGAATATGAATCTGTCGAGAAAGAAGCGAACGGTGGGGAAGAAGAGAGCCAAAAAGGGTAGAACGGAGAAATCCCGAAAGTCCGGGTAGGATTCTTGGTGCCAGTCAATAGAGCTCAGTCGTTGAACCCAAGCCATTGACGATGGAGACGGTGTTGGCTCAGTAATTTTCTCGGGAAACAAACAGAGAACTTTTTTTCTTGGGACACGGGAGGGAAAGGAGAGAGTATTTTCTATTTTGGTTGGCAACAGTGAAAGTCTCTATAGAGTCGTGGTGGAACGTATAGCTGTTCGTGAGATCTGTAAATGGAAGGTCTGTACCAAAAATATTTAATAAAAATATATTAAAAGAACGCGTCTTAGACCACAAAATTGATTATCTGTATTTGTTATTATTTTCTAACTAAAAAATGAGTTAAATGATTACTTTTGTTTTGTATATTGCAAATTTGCAACGGTAGAAGGTCAATAACATCTTATAAAAAAAAAAAATTATTCCCTTTCATGTCGAATATTTTAAAAAAGATGTTGTCACGTGACGCACTGACCAACCCTTATTCAAAACAGTGACTATTGTGCTAGTGTTCATCAATTTTTTTACCTAAATACCACGCGAACAGTGTTATTTTTCAATCTGTCACGGGGCAAGTTCGCTTCTGACACAAGCGACCTCGGTTTGCTGATGTGTCAACTTCCTAGTGGTGTCAGAATTCGCTTCTGACACAGGCGATCTCGGTTCCAACAATATTTTAACCAAGTTCGCCTACATGGTAGGCGAACTTCATTTTTTTTAATTTTTTTTTTTAAATTTAATACTTGTTATCCACTAAAAATGTGACACGTCAGCAAACCGAGGTCGCTTGTGTCAGAAGCGAACTTGCCCCCGTGGCAGATTGAGAAATAACACTGTTCGCGTGGCATGTAGGTAAAAAAGTTGATGAACAGTGACATTTTGGTCCGTATCCCCCTTATTCTCACATATGGCTCACACAGTACACTTCCTCTTCCCACAATGATGCTCTCTTCTCAGATCTTGTCATATTATTATGTTCCTTTATAAATTTTCAGTCCCTAAAGTTTATTGAAACTATTTTGATCCTGTCTATTTATTATTATTTTCTAAATGAAAATGAGTTAAATTATTTTTTTAAATTTTTATGGTAAAAGGTCAACAAGGAATGATGTGTGAAGCGGTATATTTTATAATTGAATTTAAACAAATAATATTGTCTCTAAAATGCCAAAATTATTAAAAAGCTTGCCCTCCGCGGAAGCAGGATATTTTGCCAAAAAAAAAGTTGAACAAATGGGATATTCTTAAATGGCGTGATGATCATTTTAAATAACATATTTTATATTTTTTCACTTTCACAAAAAAAAAGTAAGATTCACATTTGTAAAACTTTTTTTCCTCACTCTCTCTCGTGATTTATTTTTTTCTTTAATTTAAAATGACACAACTTTGTATCCTTTAAAATGATACACATTGGATGTTCAAAAAATAAAATAAAAATGATACACATTTTTTCCTTAAATTATTCTATCTTTCTTTTTTATAAATCACAAATATTCTTCATGAAAGGCAATCCTATTCGGAGCGGATCCAAGATTAAGGTTTTAAACTAATCTTTTTATGTCTAGTAGATATGACTTTAAACTATATAATTATAAGAAAAAATGTTTATCATTTTAAATGACACAACTTATATCAATTCACTCTTTTTTTTTTGGAGTTACCCAACCCTAATTATCTCTTTGAGACGAGTTGGCTCCCTCCGGTATCCCCACGAGCTTCGACTCTTTGAGCCAGCTATGGGACTAATCCGGAGTGCGGGGGAACAGTGATGGCTAAAGGTTCAGCCCCCTGTTCCCCCGCACTCCGGATTAGTCCCATAGCCGGCTCAAAGAGTCGAAGCTCGTGGGGATACCGGAGGGAGCCAACTCGTCTCAAAGAGATAATTAGGGTTGGGTAACTCCAAAAAAAAAAAAAAAGTGAATTGATATAAGTTGTGTCATTTAAAAGGATAAACATTTAGGTAGGACCCACACTTTTATTTTTTTTTGTCAACTCTATCTCTCCTCCTTTATCTATCTATTTCTCTTTTTTAAAGTGACACAACTTTACATTCTTTAAAATGACACTTTTCTCATAATTATATAAGTTACATGCTTGTTTTTTTTTTATTTATTTTTGGTACATACATGCTTATTTTTTATCATAGCTCTAGTTTTTGACAATATATGTGATTTGGTAATTTGAATGTATGTTAACCATGGTAAATCAAGAATCATCAGCCCTGATTCATTGATCCAAGAGAGGATTTGTAGGCTATACGATTATAAACATTGATTGGAGGGAATCACAACCGAAGCAAAAACGTGAATATTGCAAGCGTGAAGGTCACGACCATCGTTTTTGCTCTAATTTTATTGATGCATCAACCTCTAAACAAAATGTATCAACCACCATTCACTTAATTAGTTTTAAGTTTGATTTATTTTATTTCATTAGTAGTATTAATTATTTTATTTCAAATTATGTTATTAGGTAGTTTAGAAGATGTAAGTGGCCATTAATATGTAGTCAACTAATCACAAGATCAATTGATGAATTAAGCAATTTCATTATTCCTCCCAATTATCTTTTCTCTTATTCTCTCCCATCTCTAAGCTCTCTCTTACTCTTTTCAAAACTTCTTCTCCCCTAATTCTCCTTTTGTGTGGGCACTTGAAGCAACAGTGATATGGACCAAAGCTCCATGAGAGACATCGTAAGTGCAATCTCAGGCAAAGTTGAGAAAGAGGAAATGTGTATAGGTACTGTAGCTCTAAGTTGTGGCATAGTTACAGTTTATGAATATGGTAATTTTCAAATATCTCTTGAATATGAGAAGAGAGATTTATACATGTGGGAATCATATACCCTTATGCCATGAGAGAGAAAATGAGTCTAACCATTTTTTGCTCACTCAAGGAATTGCTCTACTATCAAGTACGATAGGTGAAGGGAGTGAAAGATTCTCTTTGGTAAAAATTTTGTGCTAGTTATGAGAAGATTATGAGAATAATCCCTTAATGGACTTTTACAGACTAATTCATATGTATTGGGCTGTGAAAACTAACCCGGAACAAATACTATTCATATTTATTTAGCAACTATAATTAAAAAATGAGGCATGACGTTAATAAAGAATAAGACCAATGATGGAAATTGAGACATGAGATAATAAAGAATGCTAACAAAATAATTTAAAAAATGAATAAACTAAAAATTTTAAACAACACCCATTATAGTTGGAAAGTAACAAAAATAGCACTCCTCATCGTTTTCGTTGTCAAAGCTAGGACACAACAAACATGCCCGACTCCGTCGTCTCGCACCATGAGATGGGTTCTTCTAACTATAGTTTGTGCAGCGTTGTCGTCGAAATCATCACTTCAAAGTCCACAAATTCTTCATTAAGGTTAAAGCCTAGGCTAGGGATCATAGTAATATGAAGGAAATGAGCCAAAGGATGTAGCTGTAGGATCAAGAATTACTTTAATATGTTATTTTACTTAGGACACGCTCACCATTCATCAATGCCTTTACCCACGTATATAAGTAATATAATTTATTATGGAAAAAAATATAATCATTATGTAAATATAAAATAATCCGGTTGGTATCTATATTCCAAACTATTCTAATCCGGTTCGAACTCGAGATATGAAAAAAAAAGGTTTATTGCCACTTGAATCAATCGTTGGTCGCTGAGATGGTTATTTTATCGACTGTGCTGAATCTGCTGATACCTCATTCTCATTGCTTTGTAGTTTGATTTTAGGAATGTTACATGAGATTTATATCACATCGAAAAATGTGCCTCTCTTTTTAAAAAAAAAATATTGAATCTCATTTTATTTATCTTTCAACAGAAAATAACTTCTATCCTGCTATAAAAGAGAAGTAATCCCCTTGATTTTATATAGAGAAAAATTATTCTTATACTACATGTGATAAATTTTTCTCTTACACTCTATTCGATAACCGTGTCACTTTTTTCTTTATTTATTATTATTTTTTATGTGATGTAGTCCACAAATTTATCTCTATGACATGAAATAGCTTATCTCCTTTAACATGAGATTAATAAAAAAAAATTATATATCATAAATAAATTTAGAGGACAACTGTGTGATATTTTGAGAGTTGGGCTCGTTTGTTCTTTATGTCGTTTTGAGTTTAAGGATGAAAATCCGTGATTAGTGGGTTAGGCTTGTTTTCCTTAAAGTTATTGGTTTTCAGGGCTGATAAAGTGGTTGGGCTAATTTTTCACTTGTTTGGACTGGGGCATTTGCTGGCCCACTTGTATTAATTTTTTCACAATAATAAAAGTTCTATAACATAAAAAACAGTAAGAAAAAAAAAATGAAAGAGTTTAATTTCTTTTACTTTTGGGTTGTTATTGGCATTGCCTGATTTAAGTATATATTGCTTGCTTATTTAATTTATTTAGATAGTTGTTTCAATTTTTTTTAAATTTTTTTCCTTTACTGATTAATGTTTCAAACAAACCAATTTTCTTACAATTTCTTTATATTTTTAATCCATCCAATAGTATAAGATGTTGATTTTATGGTTATGTCATTCTCAATTGTCATATGAGTCAACATATCCTTCTGCGTTATCTTAAATTCTGCCCAGAAATGGATTTTTTATTTTAAATAAAACACAAGATACTTTTATATAGTTTTTAACTAAAATTAGTCAATCCATATATATATTTCTAATGATCTAGGTAAAATTAAATTCCCCACCATTTTAAGAGATGCATTAGTATGCAAGTCAAGCCTAATTATAATTTTTTTATATAATGTAGTTTTTAATTTTTGGTAAATTTCTCTTTTTACTAATATTTGTTTTTGCTTGCTAAAATAAATAGTCTTAAAACTATTATTAATTTGTAAAAATAATTTAAAATAAGATTTCTAGATGATAAATCAATTCTGTGAAATTTATTTTTTATTATCTTCTATGCATAATTGATTTTTGAACTTAACTTTTAAGATTTTATCAATAATGTCCGAACATAATAAAAGATTAGTAGTGTTCCTTTTTTTTTTTTGAAAAAAAAAAGCTTGTCATCCCATTATAAATATAAATATAAAGACATGCATCTTGTTACCCACTACCATCTTTAATCAAGACTCACATCACACAATCAAATTCTTGGAACAGTGCATTTTCTATGCATCTGAAAGTAACATTGAAAAGGACTTAAAAATGCAAAAT